GTGTTTTATTAGTTTCTGATGCCGCCGTCTTAGGTAGGCCATACACACTACAAAAAATCGTTACAATTAGACTGTACCGTCCGAACGGTATCGATAAATCGTAGCGTGTATGTTATAAAACTGCACAGTTTCCTATACGTACGACAGACAGTTCCGTTCGAACTGTACAGTCTGATCGTAACGATTTCTCGTAGTGTGTATGGCTACCATTATGCAGCTGTCATCAGAAGCTAAATAGCCGAGTATAATACAGAGAGATATTCTTATGTTACACTGCTCCTTGTTTTATGTCCCCCACTTGTCCGTACTCTGTTTGTTACTACATACGGTTGTTTTCCAGGCAGCAGAGAGCGGCAATGTTGAGGACTTCATGCGTCTATATCTGAGCGAACCGTCACGACTGACAGTGAGGGACGTGCGTGGCAGGACCGCCGCCCACCAGGCCGCCTCTAGGAACAACACGAACATATTGCACTTTATCAACAATTACGGCGGAGGTAATCATATTTTAGTATGATACAATTTTAACGGTGGTTGTGAAGTTAGCGTAAAGCGTGCGGACGTAAACAAAATATCGAAATTTCGATGTGCTTGGGGAGTCCACCAACTATCCAGCATGCGAGGCAGCGCTATACCTACACGTTAAAGGGATCCTGTATACATAAACGTCTTATTTACGTGCAGGTATAGCGCTGTCCCGCATGCTGGATCCCGAAAATGAATAGTGCGTAGAGGACTTAACGTAGCGTTCGTTGCTAATTTCACAACCGTCATAAAATTATAATTACTTTCTACGCAAAAAAAAATCCTTAGGTCTTCTGTGCATCAAAATGTACTTAAAATCGTTAGTACTGATGGTCTTCAGCTAACTTTACCTTGTATACCCGTAGTTTCAATCTATGTATTTACCAGACTCACAAAAACATTAATGTTTACTTTTTAATTCAATATTTATACTTAAAGAGGAAATCACAATAGTTAATTTTACCTATAGTTTGAGATTTGCCCCAATAAGCGGATGCACTTATTCTTTTTACAGCGTTTCTCCATAAACCAATATAAACAAAACACACACAGTAATTTTTAAATGATAGTCTTTATCTGTTTTTCTTTCATCTTAAATAAAATAAACAGCGATCTCATTTTCAGTATTCAATTTCAAATGAAATACTGGAAATCAGATCTCTGTTTTTAGATAATTATAAGATAATCAGTCTCTCTGTTCTTAGATATAATAAAATAGTCTGAACATAATCTCTGTAGCGTATATCAAGTTAGCACGATATTAGAAGACGCTGCTCGCGCTGAATATTAATAGATAATAATATATTTACCTTTTTATGTATGTTGTACGTGTTTTATTTTGTATAGATCTGAATGCTCGTGACAACACTGGTAACACTGCCCTCCATGTGGCTGTTAAAAATGAAGCACTGGACGCTATTGAGTTTCTACTGCAGCAGTAAGTATAATATTCTAAATTATAAACGCCTTGTTACTACAAACGAAGCGAAAGACGCAAAGGAAAATGAAAATAAAAACTTGTAGCCAAGAGCGTCTTTAAGCATCTGGCCAAAGTATCTCTAGCAAACCTTATTTGCTCGACTGTCTGAAAAAAAACAGAAAAAAGTCAGGTGCTATTTAGACTTGCAAACTCAACGTAGGATTCCATCCCATATCATATCACAATATTTGAAACTATCACTAGCAAAACATGTAGAAAAATCACGCTTCAAACCCGCTTCTCACTATTATGTTTTTGATTGTATCCTTTTAGTTCTACTAGTATGATTAAACGGTGAAAAATTTTCCGTTAATTTCTACTAATACAACTGAACGGATAAAAATTTATAGTTTAAAAAACTAAAAACACGCTTTTATTTACTGCACTAAAAGCCAAAATTAAACAAAACATACTCTCTGTTTACTTCATTAGGGCCTTAGAATAAGGCTATGTTTATAGTTTATTTTAAGATATATATATATATATATACATATAGAACTGCAAAAGCGTGGGGGGAAAAGGGGGCGTTCTCGCTACTCCTATGGAATCTTGTGGTTGATAGGCTTATCAGACGCCTTAATGATAAAGTATATTTCACGGTGGGCTACGCTGATCAGAATAACTGTAATATTAAACGGCACAAATGAAAACACATTCTGTAATTTTATGCATCAATCCTTGAAAATAGTAGAGAACTGGTGTAAGAAATACAAACTAGCAGTAAACCCAGCTAAATTGGAACTAGTCCTTTTTACAAAGAAAAGGAAGTTACAACTACCTCAATTCTTTGGAACCACTCTAACCCATCTGCCGTGTCCAAATACCTGGGCGTCTATTTGGACAAACAGCGGAGCTGGGCAAAACACACCGGTTACATCATTACAAAATACAGCATAGCTTTATGGTAGTGCAAAAGACTGCTTGGTCGAAATTGGGGCATTAGCCCCAAAATCACCCACTGGCTATACACCATAGTCATCCGACCAATCATTACATACGGGTACTTAGTTTGGTGGCCAAGGACCAACCTCAGCACTGCCCAGAAGGATATTGAGAAACTACAGAGATTTGCTTGTGTAGCAATTCCTGACTGCACGAGAACAACACCTACAGCTGCCTTACAGGTGATGCTAGGATTACCACCCTTACATCTTGTTGTAAGAGTGGAGGCGAGCCTACCGACTTTCAGGCTCGAAATATCTGGCACCTTAAATAGGGATTGCAGAATTAAACATGTACGCATAAAGGAGCAGCAGGTTACAGCCCATGATGGCATCACCCAATGACAGAATCATGAAAACACACTGTTTCCTAAAACACTACAACACTGAACTCACAGCTAAATCGCATGACTACTCGGGCCCGAAAGAACTAAGGATCTAAACTGACGGATTAAAAACTGACCTTTGAACAAGTGTTGGGGTCTTCTCAAATGACTTAAATATCAGAATATCCTGACACCTAGGAATGCTCAACACCGTCTATCGGCGGAGTGTGTTGCCATTACCCGGGCGGCACATGCCATAGGGGCCATAAAAGTCCCGGATACCCACATCCGCATACTCTCCGACAGTGCCTCGGTTCTTCAATCCTTAAAGAAAAACCAGTTCACGTCGAGACTAATACTAGAATGTCATTACGCCTTAGAACGCGTAACGGTACTAAATCGAAATACAGTGACGCTACAATGGATCAAGGGACACAGTGGATCACTTGGTAACGATGCAGCCGATGAACTCACTCTGGGGGGAGGTGGGCTGGCTGGAGTGACCGGCAGCCATGGCTCATGCACAATAGTCCACTTAAGAGACTGAGTGCGGACACCTAATCTCCTAATATAGAACCATTCAGATTTTTAAATTTTATTACATACATAGTTAGTTACAAGTCGACCTAATAAAAGAGTGTTAAAAAATGATATTCTGTCCGAATAAAAAAATTAACAGAGCAAAATAATCTTGAGTTCGTGCAGTTCTACGATGAGTTCTATTAATAGGATTGAACGGACAGCAGTAAAATGCACTAAGTTCATCAGCTTTTGGTGTGTGTTTTAAGGAATGTTTATTAACAACTTATGTGGGATTAGTCCTATTTAAGATTCACACTGCAGATAGTAGGACTATACGGATTTTTTTTCTTCGTTTTGTCATACTCAGCAGAACAGCGGAATTAACGGATACAATGGTGTTATTGTAGTAATACGCGTTCTGTGAAAATTTCGGGTGTCTTCCTAGTTCCGTTCAAGAGCTAGATGCCTGTGACAAACAAACAGTGGTTTTATTCGTCACGACACAAGCGAAACTAAGGAACTCTATTTAAAAAACAGCAATTTTTGAATCGTACGCTAAGTACGTACCATCGTACAATAAATGACACTTGAATAATTGTTCAGTCGTACAAAAACGAGCCTAATTAAGGTTTTCTAGCAATAAGTAATCCTTTTAATGTTGTAATGGTGGCGATAGAAATATGCATCTACACATAATAATTTATACACGTACAACAAAAATGTAAACAGATTCTTAAAAAATCTTCTTAAAGTAAGCAAGTTAAACTGAAATAAATCGAGATACAAATAGCCAAGGTGTTTAACTAGCTTCAGAGTAACATTTAATATTACTGCTATTGTAGAGAGCAATCTGTTGAAGTCGGCTAAATTGAAACTCCTTGGGTCGTTGCTCTTTTACTACTGGTGAAGGGATTCTGCGGAATAAAGACAAACTGAAGATTAACTTGTCCCAAACACCCTTTAGTAATATTGTACTATGGATACCTATTATAAAAAGCAGCATTTCGATTCCGTAAAATACAATCTATCGCGGAGCTCACGATTTATATCTGATGCACATAAATATTAGGCAAATTAATATATAAGATATTATTAAGAATAAATATTGCTCTTAGTTATCAAGCGACACTCTGGCTGTTTCATTCCTCATCTCCCGTCACTAGGAGCCAAAATGAAGTTGCATAATTATTCATTGTTTTAGAATTTAAAATATTCAGGGTACGGAGAGGGAGTGTGTTGTGTACATGTTTCATATAAATAACAGCAAAAAAGGAAATAGATAAACACACTGGGCAACGTTACACAGTTTGAGCATTTGGCGCTGGGCCCAAGGTCAAACAAAACGTAACCTATATAATATTTCTCACTATATTTTGGCTAATGGAGCCATCTAAAATATTACTTTTGAGTAAAATTATTTTACTTTAATACTGTAATTGTTATTGAGCTTTCCCATAACTACCCAGTTATGTTACGTCATATATATACCTTGACGTGTGTAGTAATATTTATAGGTATGTACACGTCATACCCTAAAAAGTCTAATTAATATTATTAGTACATACCACTCCATTAGACTAACGCTTAAGTATACATGTCAAATGCTCGATAAGCTGCACTAAGCAGTGATAAGCTTTGGAATTAAAATCAGGCCCCTATCTATCCTACCTACCTATCCTGTGAAATGCGATAGTATTCAATGTGTCTGTTCACTAGGCGCATATCTTGGGGTCTTAAAAATAATTCCTCGTGTGTAAAGTTAATGAATTCAGCCAGACGTGCTTACTGGTTAGCGTGACATGGTTGGAGCAAGTCTTTTGCAGTGTGGTCTAAGCCTTAGCGTTACTTTAATTTCTTCACATTTTGTACTAAATTATCAGGAAACAATCCATCAAGATTGTATTGAGTCACACATATTATTGTTGCAGACACGTCGATACTGGTGTGTTGAACGAGAAAACGCAATCTCCGATCCATCTTGCTACGGAGCTGAATAAGGTAAGGCAAATATAATAATATTTAAACCAATCAATGGGTAGGGATTTATCGGGTATTCTTCTCAAAAATCGGGGCGCTTGCTTGTACTAATGATAGGATATTAGTATCTACTAAAATGCAGCGAAATAGACTTAATTTTATACCAAACACACTGCTACTAAGTTTATCGTTTTTTGCTTTATAACCTGAAAGAGTGCTTATTGGTAACTTTAGCATAAGTAAATAAATAGTGATATGCAGCAAAGTGAAAACGGTAACGTGTATCCGCGGTTAACAAAGCAAGTAAAAAGTGCGAATTTCTTTTTTGAAGTTTGAAACATTGAATTGAATTCGTGTTTCCAACTTTCTACAACTAGAAATACCTACTCAAAACGAGATGTGTACGGACAACTTTCAAACCGTATCAAGTAAAAAGGTATTAGCCCAACTTCATTATCTGTTCTCTTACATCTGGTCTCCGCGACTTGGTGCAGATGCTTCGGGATTACTTAAGGCGGATTAAGAATTTTGTAAGTCGAAGTAAGAAAAAAATACATTAGCTTGAATCGATACAAAACAATTCATTTTTTCTTGCCACCGTCGACACCATTAATATTGTGCCCTCATCGCAGTCTGCGGCTGACCTCGACAAAACGAGAGTAATAAATTAACATAAACCCAATATGTTTTAGCTGTGCTGATAGTAAATATGTCAGAAAATAACAAATTCTTGAGTTAGGAAGGTATAAGTTAGTACCTAATACACAACAAAGTAACTCGTAACACGAAACTTGCCTTTTGACTTATCAGTTAAAATGAAGGACGGCTTAAAACGAAATAAATAATTAATTGAATTGTTTCAAGAAATACAGTGTAATGTAATGGTCAATGTGTAATCAATAAATTACTTCATTACAAACACCTGTCTTAAACTATTTTTTATGGCATGGAATGCACTTAGAAGCGTCTTTGTCCATTTTGAATATTTATAATTTGTAGATAAGCAAAAGCATTTTGATCTTCATCAGAGATCATTTATGTAATTTAAGGCTTATTCTTGCAATAAACCACTTTAGTAGAGCACAGTAATTTTGGAAGCCAACTTTATATCCGTGTTATGTAATTTGCTCGGACGAATATAGTACACTACAGCAGCGGGCAGCAAAAGAGGCACATATAAATGTGGGACGAGGGGAAGTCGAAGCACATATGCGTAAGTCCATCAATGCCTAGTAGTGGCCAAGGCTTGCCTAGTTCTTTTCTCAAAAAATGAGCGGAAATTAATACAATTACTTTTCAAAATCAATGACGAACAACAATATTTTTTTCATCCCTTCTATTCAAAAAGTGTCGCTTTGCTCCTTTATAAATGGGAACAAATTAGCTCTTTTCCGATAAGAACTTTCTAACGGGCGTAAAAGAGATTTGAATTTAGAACATATATCATTCATAGAAATCGAACGCAAATTGTATGAATTACTGGCTGGTACGTGTTTGCAGCAAGGCACGGACTCGCGCTAACTAAAAAAAAACAAAAGCGCGCGAATTACTTTTCTGTACTTGTTACCTCAGCACATATTTTATTGTATTTTGCAAAAATAATGAGTTCTACTACCCGCAAGTTATGAAAGTGATAATTCATTAACTCCTGAAACAATAACGATAGAAGCTAACAACGTCGTACAAAACTTATTACCCACGAAATCCCGGGAGAAATATTTAAGGGCCTATGACAATTTCATTCTATGGAAAAACAGAAAAGGAGCGCAAACCGTCAACTAAGATAACAAATACTGAAAATGTAAATGAATCGACAACAATATCGATCCCAAATAAAACAATAACTTTTAATAATTGCGCTAGCGTATCCAATATATATTTGTAATTATTTTTTCATTTCTCATTCTCGGAAAGTGGTGTTGTTTTGATCTGTTTGTTGGGTGGAAAATGCTGCTTCCCTCCCTAGAGATGGAAAAACTTATACAAATTACTTCCCGCCTAAGGGCCGAAATGAACTTTAAAAATAGAACTACTGTCAGGTGTGAAGAGTTTTATGTAAAAAAAAAATATGATGCCATGTGAGTTTCTAAACAGCCAGTGTGAACTTAGCACAAACTGCTTTGAGCGGAATAAGCCGCAACAATTACGCTGTTCCATATATAAATTTAAAAAGTCGACATAAATTGGCGGGATACTAAACTGTTATGTATCTGTGGTGGAATAAAAAAAAATCTTATAAGTAAAACAGAGTAATCTAAATTTGAATATTAAAAATGAGTTTAAGCGATTTAGAAATGTTGACACCGGATTCAATTAAAGACGAGGCAAATTGTGTTATAGAGAATCTTTTGCCAGAAATGTCAAAAGAGGATATATGAATACATACAATGATTTTATAAAGTGGCGAGCAGAGAAGAATATAAAATCGTTTTCCGAAAGTGTATTTCTTACATATTTTAATGGACTGTCTTCTTCACTTCTTCTTCAAACTTCCAGGGAGTATCCGCCATGGAATAGTATATCAAACAGCATAAACATTTCAAACAGGAATGTAATTTTAATTTCACTAATTGTCCTAATATGACAATTAATTTTAAATAGCTACTTCTAATTTTATTGTACCTATATATATATACCTATTTATGAATAAATATTTTTGATAAACAACTAGTTTTATTTTCCTCATTTTCGAAATGAAAAGTAGAGTGTTTAACTCGGGGAAAAGAATCAATTCCTACTCGGACTATAGCCGTCTAAATACCTCGGGAATTGATTCTTTCCACCCTCGGTTAACTACTATTACTTCATTTCACATGTCTTCTTTTAATCAAATATATTTATTATTACATAACACCGTCTCTTATTTATTTTCTCATAGAAAGGGGATGAAAAGTACAGTGTATGACTCGAGAGCTAATTATTTTTCCCTCGGGCGCTGTACTTTGAATCCTTCGCTTCGTTCGTGCTTCAAAGTAGCGCCCTCGCCATAAAAATACTATTTTGCTCCCTTGTCATACAATCTACTATTCCACGTTAAAGACTTTAGTTTTTTTTTTATTTCAATAAACAGTGTTCTATTTGCAGGTCCAGTCCGAAATTTAAATGAAACCTTTGATAAATTACCTCCTTACAAAGTTTGTTCCATTATCAAATTACACGACATATGTGAGTATACTATGGCATTTATTTGGCCGATAAACACTATAGGTATGAATTTTCATACACTTTTGCCGGCCGCTGCTCGCGTGTATATAGACAGTACAGCAATATCGATTTACCTCGCAGAAGGTAGGCAAAATAATGGTCTAAATTCCAAGCCTGTTTGAGAAAGTTACTTAATTTTAAGCTTAGTATTGACACGCCCTTGGTTAATTATTATTTTCTAGCTCGTTGCTTCTACTTACGATAAGGGGGGGGGGGATAAAATAGTAATAAAATGCAGTATAATATACTAGAAGCGTTTTCGTTAAAGACTTAAAGTGAAAGCTTTGGGTGCATCCACTAAGAGGATTATTTTGAGCACACCTAATTAATTTAGAGGCACTTGCTCTCTTGGTTGAAGCGAAAGAACAACATGAACTTATATAATCCAGATTTAGTCGGTGCAAGCTGCTATCTTTTCCGAGGGGATTATAAAAGCCTATAAAAATATGAAAATAAGTATCTAAATTATTTCGAGTGACTATTTGGCAGACTATACCTATTGCATACAAACATCTAACAGTTCTAGTTAATGCGCTTTAGTACTATAAGTTATAGTAGGTACTAAATTTATATAAAATATAATTATTATATTGTACATGCAAATAAATAAATATCATATACACATACTTACACACACGCATACATATGTTAACGCTTTTTTAACAAACACAGATACGAGCAATTGGTACCGATGTAGGTTCGCTGGTGGGACCTGGAGTCCTGAAAAATGAAATTATAAAGCCACTTGCTTCTTAAAAAAAACAAGCAACTCGTTAATCCAATTAAATATTCAAAGCGTGACCTGACATAACTTAATGGAGCATATTACCTAATTTATTTATTCGGAATTTCCATAATGTTTGGAGCTGTTTACGCAATTTAAACAATGGGGGTTAACAGGATTAAACATTGTAAGTTGTGCGCACATTAATACCCGATAGCTCGGTGGAAACTGAGAAACTTCTGTTTATAAATGATTGTGTTTTCATTGAACTTTTCACATTTTATAATTATACATCCCCGTTATATTATTTATTTCCGCGACAAATAAAAAGTAACTTATGAGCCTTCTCAGAGGTTCCTATTATCTTCTTACCAAAATTAGGTCAATATCGGCTGAGTAATAATCAAGGCGAATTGCAAAAGACAGATGAACAGAGTTAATTTCACATTTATAAACTCAACGATTTATTTGGCTCGTCAGTTTTATATGCTTATTATATTTAAATATCTGCTCCTTCATAAAACCGATTTTAACCGACTTCAAAAAGGAGGAGGTTCTCAATTCGTCAGTAAGTAAGTACATATATTTTAATTTTTAATTGTTGTTCGCGTATACCTCTGATATGCGTGGACAGTTTTCGATGATTCTTTTTTGATTGTTCAGTTTTTTGGCGAGATGGTCCCATATTAATTTGGTGAAGATCTTATGAGTACATTTGTAGAAAAGAATGGAACTCCCATATTATATTATAGCTTTTAACGGGATTGTTATGTCTCATAGAGTATAGATATTTTTGTTTTTTTTAATGGCTTTGAATGTTGTGGCTTTGCGCTGTGCAAACAGTGGTACTACTCGTTATAACTGTCTCGGACAAGGAGCTTTCGTTTAATCTAGTAATTATAGATTTTTAACAAGTTTATAGATCTGAGTTACCGTTTACTGCTTAGGTTAGCATAGCACCGACACCAAATGATACTATAACTTTATATGTACTCGTACTGTAGAGATACTTTTTGGGTGGTTCTGTTTATACATATGTAGTTGGTTTATATTTTTGTAAAAAAAAAATATTTTTATATGTACGAAAGTTCCGTCGCGTGTATGATTCTCTTCGCGAAGGTATTTTGGTAATTACAACACACAAGAAGAAAATGAATTGTCTTTAAATTTGCCTTTTCATTTGGCAAAATGAAAGATCTTATTCATATTATTTTTCGCAGAAGAGATAAGTTACAGTAGAATGCGTCTGACAAGTAATTTTGTGAGACGATCACATTTGTTTGTGCAACGTCGCGAAACTAAATTTAAAGATAAAACCGGGTACAGTGCGATTTTAATATCGTCGTCACGAAGGAAGCATTGCCATCGCGAAAGTGTGAGAAACATACGAAAATATTGCGAAAATGTCGTTTGTTGTAAGTGAAGGGTATCAATCAGTATTCTAGTGGAGAAGTCGCATCCTAAACAGTCTTAATGATATGTAGGCCCAATACAAATCGTCAATCACATATTCTATAGATAAGACATTCGTAAATATAAAACCTGCTCAACGGTAGGCGACTGACCGAACCGATCCCAAAATTTTCGTCCATGGACCGACATCTTTGTAGAGTTTTTTTTAATGCTTTTCTTTTTCGCGCATTCCATTTTGTTAGAATAATGACACTACGCTATGACACAAAAGGATTCCCGCCCCTGCAAATACTTTACTATTATTTTAAGCACCTACCTATTTTAAATGACATTAATTAAAGGTTTTTTTTATTAAGTTTGGTGTTAAATGTATGTGTTATTTTATTATTTCACTGCATACAGAGCGTAACTTAAGCCCTGTTTACCTTGAGAATATGGCCTTAAGCTCTTTTTTTACTGCACGATGTATTTTAATAATGTATTGTAGGTTCTTTATCAAAATATAGTAAATAGCGGACTTAATGCCGTAGGCATTCTCTACCAGACAACCAGTAAGGGTGTGGGAGACGAATGTAATGGCGATAGAGTGCGAGCTACTAAAGTTAGAAAAACATATACAGGGCGTCCCACGGCTACCTCACATGGAGGGAAAGTATATTAAATATTGAAGATAGGATATTTTACTGAAAGAAGACATCATTTTATTTTAAATAATAACTAGAACTGCATTCACAGATTTTTTTAAAATCGCCTGTTACAACTGGGTATCAAAATCGTGAAATTTCGAAAAATAAACACGACATAATATTTTATGATAACCATCGAAAGGGTTAATCATAAGGATTATTTTTTGCTAAATAACATATCATTTTAAGTGAAAGAAAAGTAATTAACTTTAACATTTTATTTAAAATTATTTAACAGAAACTAATATAAAATCGGATACGCCTCAAAGTAAGTTAAAATGTTAAGTTCATCATCGTTGACGTTTATCATCCGCTGCTGTGGTTTCTGTAAACGCATATCACAATGTATTTTGATACGCTATGGTAAGCACATTAACAAAAAATATACAGATAAACGAAAAATAAAACTAACAAAATAAAAAAAAACAAAAGAACAGACGCTTGAAAATTTATGTGTTCCGTTATTGAATTATTATTTTTATAAATTTCAGCCAATCGCATTGTAGCTGAGTTTTAAAAGAAATGGATACGTACTAGAGTTTGTATATCACTTTATTATTTTTATCACGTAATAAGATATTCCTTTCATTTAAAATGCTATTTTATTTAGCAAAAACTAATCCGTATGATTAACCCGGTCGATGGTTATCATAAAATAGGTGGGTTTTTTTTTCAAACTTTCACGAGTTTGATTCCAAGTTGTAGTAGGCCATTTTAAAAAATCTGTGAATGCAGTTCTTGTTATTATTAAAAATAAAATGATGTCTTCTTTCAGTAAAATATCCTATCTTCAATATTTAATATACTTTCCCTCCATGTGAGGTAGCCGTGGGACGTCCTGTATATTATCCTAATTAACTTTACTGTACATTATAAACGATAAATAAATATTATATAATTATCAAATATCATAAATACGAATATAAATAAATAGATATATACATATAAAATAAACATACACATATTAAATATAATTATATACATATAATAAACTAGTTAGAAATATCTAATTATGATGTTACAGATGACTAAAGATTACAGAAATATTAGGTCGACAGATAGTGTGCACGCACTAGATTTTTAAACTCCAACTTACTGCATTAATAGGCTGGTGATGATATGATTCAGTAATTTCCCTACCCACGTTCTGATACAAAAGCCATATAAAGCTTTTTTTTACTCACCAATATCGCGAGTCATGCTCTGTCGATTCAATGTCCGTCACACTGAAAGCTGATGGCGCCTCAGAGATTGAGTCCACACTCATCCATCTTCAGTGACACATGTTTATTACTTACCAACACAATTTAGAATACCACATTCTGGAGACGGGTGGAACGCTGACAGGGTGTCTAAAATAGCGATATTTGCATGAAACATCACAAGTATTTTTCGTTCATGGAAAATAGTTCTTCAATATGATGTTATTATTAATGGCATTCCCTTAAGTGACCTTTTTACGCATTCTCGTACAAATCTGTCGAATCAGGGGGGCAATTCTCATGCACTCGAATTAATTACTAATTCGAAAAAAACATCGAATTCGATTATATTTCGACTAAAAATGAAACAATGTAAACCTCCCGAACTGCTTCGTGTGGTTAGGACAAACGTAACACATTGTTATTCCTATTTAAATATTTATTTTTATATTAAAATTGACATTTTTAATGACTGTCGAATTTATCATTGACTTCCTGTTAAATATATTACAAGAAGCAGAAATTTCCACCCCTATCGTGGAAATTTCGGCAGGGGTTCCTCGTCAACGATTTAACAATCTTACCGATGTTGTGGATCCGTTTGATTTGCGAAACTCAAATGAATTTACAATTTTAAATTCAGTAAAAAACATTTCAGACTCAACAAGCCATTAACGGAAACGTTGATTTGCTATATTCCTTTTTTTTTTGTACATATTTTCTTTTCTAAAGTGAAATCATCACATTATTTCTAATACAACTTTAGTGATTCATAAAAATATAAAATTTTATTTTCCATAATGAGCCGGCTTCGTAATTACTTTTATTTTAAGTTATATAAAATTATGGTGAGTTTTTTAAATAACGCTCCAACTACTCACCGCAGAGCTGGTTTTAATTTATTACATACTAGCTAACCCGGCGAACTTCGTACCGCCTTAGCGTAGCTTTGATGCACTACTTTATTTTGTAAAGCTGACCTATCTTATGTACCTATTCAATTTCTTTATTTTTCCTTTATATTTTTTCCGTAACAACCTTGTACAGAGTATTAGAAAACTACAAAAAAAAATCAGCTGATATGTCGTGACAACGGAAAACGGGTTTCATTTTTATATATATAGATAATTTTTATAAAGTAATAATAAAATTAAATTTCATGACATACCTCTTATATGTAATAAAACTTTACAACTATATCAAACTAAAAAAATCACATTAAAAAATAAAAACTAAAATATTTATATACATATATAAACTCCTTACTCCAACTACTTGATAATAAATGTATCACGATGCAACTTTTCAGTCTGAAGTTCAAACTTTGACATTATCCACCTTATTCCAAAACGCGGAATAAAGTTAGTCTTCTTGGTTTAAACCCAATGTTGTCTCTGTCTTCTTTTTAACAGACAGTGCAGCATCAGTTTTAGTCCAGGTTTAACTTTAGCCTACGTTTTGTAATAACGCGGAAAATGTATGAAATTTAAGTTTAAGTTTTTCATAACTTAAACGTCAGAGTGTAAAGTTGCACTCGGAGAGTGGGTTTCAGCCCGCAGATCGCAACCGCGACCACCTCTATGCTAATAAGCCTCTATGTGACCCATAACCTTTTCGAATTGTAATTTGTTCGAAGTTTATCTCGAATAGTGATGAGAATACAGCCGAGAAAGCGACTTCTTTTTTCGAAGTTTTCTGGTCAAGATATAGTTCGAACAGTAATGTCTGTTTGTTCAATAATGAGATTGGGCCCCAGATTCACTTCATTTCATTTCATTAAGTATATTTGGGTAACAGGTATCTTGTTATTTTAATGATCGGGGAGATATAAGATTTAAATTATGAATTGTTATAATATTGTGAACAATATTATTATACAATGAAAATTAGCTATTTTAGCCCACCGCTTATATCTATGTATATTAATATATCATTGGGTGCCCACAAAACTGTGCCCCATCATTTACTCGGACCCACGTAACTGAAGTTCATTTACAGTTAACATCACGTGGAGATGAAGTAATTATTTGGGTTCCCTCTATCGCTAGACAGAATCTTGTACTCCGAAATTCATTTGGCATAACACACTTGCCATAATCCTATAAACGAATATTTTTAAGGCATATTTTTTATATAATTGTTTTTGAATTCAGAATTGGCATTCTTTTAAGATGGCAAAATTTTACCTTTGGCAATATTTTATTCTGCATAATTTCGTTAAGCATAACATTTATTTATGAAAGATTTAGTGTTCTTGTTGAGTGGGTTAAGTAAGATTAGTGTTGGGACCTAAACTTTACCAGCCACCTGGTGCATATTTGTATGGCAACATACTGTTCTGACTATGAAGTTTCTGCTATATGATGATTCTGCTTCGATAAATGAGTGAATGCCAAATAATTTACTTCGAAACCCATAGCGACACGTAAAAATGTATTTTACAAAAATAGGACTTTTATTGAAATGATAATTGAAGGCAGGCGTTAGTTTATAGTTTTTCTCAACAAATTTGATATCCATATCGTGGAAGTACACTAAAAATTTAATTAACCATCATTGTCACCCAAAATAAACGTGTATGCAAAATTTCATCGAAATTGGTTGACAATAACTGCCTCAAAATTTTGTTCCTAGATTTAGTCTTGTTAGTAAAATTATAGCTTTTAAAATGTCATCCTTTTCCTCAGGTGTCAGTGCTACAGGTCTTCGCGAAGTACAAGAACCAGTTCAACGTCGACCAGGGTGGGGAGCACGGCAGAACTGCTCTGCACTTCGCAGCCATCCACGACCACGACCTGTGCGCCAGGGTTCTGGTAAATTGTTAATTTATTTATTATTTCAGTATATAGTGCGGATCAAGCTTTAGGGCGGTTGTTATGTTAGTGCAAGTCTCCGCGCAGCAAACGAAATATTACAATAGCGGGATATAGGCGCGCGCGGGATGCAACCGAACTTAAATGGAAAAAGATACATTTACCCCTGATGGTACTTTAAGTAATTTTAAAGCAAATTGAACTCTAATGCATAGCGTTGAAGCACAAAACTAGTAACATTAATTTGAACTTGACGTTTACTGTTAGTTTGAGAATTATAGATATAACATCGGAGACCTACGAATGCTTAGCTAGTTTTACCCCAGATCGGAGGCAAATGTGACTATTGGCGGCTTTAAGATGGAATTCTCCTTGAAATAACCTTCAATTTAAAATTAATTTATTAACATTCTATCAATCAGAAATTGTCTACATTATCATTAATACATATGGAACATAAAGAATTTATGTATTAGCTCAAATGTATTAATAGTGTAAAAATATTCAAGTAACAAGTTTTATATACATTTTAGTAGTTACAATTGCCCCGGGTAACCTTGCAGGTTTTTGGCAGGTTTTCGGGGGAAAATTGCTTTAATTTATACTATATCATTATCGAAGGCCACATTAAACATGCAAAAGTTTTAATAATCAAAGTTTACGTCAATCTCGCTAACATGTTCAAAGTTAGTAACGTAAATTGATATGTTTTGCTCATGATAAACTTTACAGCAGATGCTTAATATGAGATTAAGTTGAGATATGCATAGTGCAGTCGCAAAGTAACGGCAATTCAATGGACTTGTTAATTTTAAATATTAGCCCCAATGTACCCTTCCTAATTAGCATAATAATAATATAGCATCTATCAAAAGCAGTTAGCGAATAGGCCTGCGAGCCTATTCGCTAACTGCTTTTGATAGATGGAAGTGATAAATCAGCGAGCTATTTAGTGATCCACTACTGCTGTATTATAACACCACTAAGATACTTGTTCTGAAAAGCATCGATGGATATGCAACTTTGTTTTTAGTTACACTCTGTTTGATTCGATACATAGAGGATAATTAGATTTAGATACTTCGATAAAATATTCAATCAGGATTTAACTTGATCCCGCCTTAAAAGACTATTCAGAGGGAGATCCCACTATTTTGTAATAGGTACTACAGCAAACTCGGAAGACGCGTGAAAGGACGTTATGAATACAAAATGTATGGCGCTATTATATGCAGCTGCTTGATATACTTCATTTCACAGAGCACTATACATAATTGTATTCATGACGACTAAGCGCATTAAGTGTTTTTATATGACGCCAATCTAAACTGAGCGACAATTTAACCAGGTCGTATCCAAACAGATAACAGACCTCGGTGCCCAATGCAAGATACCATGCAACAACGGCTACTACCCAATACACGAAGCGGCTAAGAACGCTTCTTCGCGCACCATGGAGGTTTTTCTTCAGTGGGGCGAGTCTAAAGGCTGTACCAGGGAGCAAATGATATCTTTGTACGACAACGAGGGAAATGTGCCACTACACTCTGCTGTGCACGGTGGGGACATAAAAGCGGTCGAGCTGTGCCTCAGATCGGGTGCTAAGATATCTACGCAGCAACATGATCTGTCGACGCCCGTACACTTGGCTTGCGCTCAGGTAAATGATTTAATGATTTCCTATAAAAATTTCAAAAATCAAATGAAGAATGGTTCCTGAGCTTGTAAACAAAAACAAAAGAATTTTATTTAAATCCGAAGGTAGGTTAATTATATTTTATGGACTTATAAACACTTTTTGCTTTTAAACCTCTTAAAAAATGTTTAATGTGTATATCATAATATTTAGCTTTAGTTGTTTATAGGCATTTCTTCAGAACACACACACATTCTCTTAAATGTCTTAACTTATAATTAACTTATATTTTTGTATGTACAAAATACGTCGATTCTATGGAAGAGTAATTTAATGCACAAACATAGTCAAAAGCCATTTATTGGACTACCTAAAAATTATACCCTTAATTCTCCAGGGTGCGTTGGAGATAGTGAAGTTGATGTTTACGATGCAACCAAAGGAAAAAATGGCTTGCCTTACTTCCTGCGACGTGCAGAAAATGACCCCAATCCATTGCGCCGCAATGTTCGATCACCCGGACATAGTGAACTATTTAATATCGGAAGGGTCCGATATCAACCCTTTGGACAAGGAAAGAAGGTCGCCTTTACTTCTAGCCGCGTCGAGAGCTGGGTGGAGGACTGTACACACATTGGTGAGTAAGGTCTATTTGCAAAATTAAAATCCTTAATTAGTTCTCCTGTTTTTGTAAAGTAAGGTAGGCAATGACTCTACCGCATCTGATGTTAAGTGGTGATTAAATCCAGACGCGGAAATAGCTGGTGCATCAGTTATGAACTGATATTCCATTATTATTAAATATTCAAAGTCAACATAGATAGTAGGCTTAAACATGATAAGCTTTTGGTGCAAGTGGGCCTAAAATAAATTGAAAACGCACTAAATCCTTACTCTTGAAGAGTCAAGAGTTCAGTCTGCAATTGTGAAACTGAAACAACTCTCGTAATAATAGTCCAGTCAATGTAGGCTTAACTTTGCCATTTTGAGTTGATCACCTGCAACCAACTCGAAAATTTCCGCAAGGGTTCGTAGATTAATATACTAAAATTGCAAGGTGCTGCATTGACGGCAAAGGGTGAAAAAAAAATATGAAATGGTGCAAAAACGAGTTTTTCGTCAATATCTGGCTACTGACTGGAAAAGTAGAAAAAATTCCAAGTAAAAAGTTGTAGAATATTTAATTTCCTACAAAAAAGGTATCTACATATTTTCCCGTATCTCCTATAGTTTTTGCACAAAATGCAACTAAAGGTGCAAAATAAAAAAAGAAAATATATTGTTAATGGTTTTTTCCCCATTTTTAAACGATCCTACGGGTCAAATTCAACAATCACCACTTACTGAAATATTTAAGGATGAGTTTTCGGCAGTCCACTGAAATGAAAATTGTCTACCGAAATGGTAAAAAAATTACCACCAAAATGATACAGCCAAGAACATCGCCTTTGTAGTAGAAGGGTACCCTATTTTGAATTTAAATAAATTTCCTTATTAAATATTTTTGTTCATTATTTTTTAATAAGAATTATTAATGAAGAATTAATTAATTGTTACTCCTATTAATTATTATTACTAATTATAATTATTAATATGTACATTTTCAAAATAACGTACAAAGCGCGTTTAGAAAGCGAGAAGTTTATTAGTTAGTAAATACTCCCTTTAGTGCCAAAACCGATTATCTGCACTTTTCCGCTACTGAACTTTTATAATACCAATCGACCCGTCTCATTAAGCCGCATCTACAGGTAAAACCCATTATGCTCTACGACGCATACTTCGTGAAATAGCTAATGAATAAACAGAATAACTGCAAATTATTTCCAAAATTCTTGATTTAAAACCTAATAAACCCATTCAAAACACTTAAGTTTGTAAATGTATTACCGCTGAAACCAAGTTTCGGATTTAAACTCATTTTTCATATAGACACTTCGAGTAAATATCCTGTGAGTATCCTGTAATTGGCTTTGATTATTTGAATTTTACCAGATATTTTAATTTTACTAGATGAAGTAAGAATTAATAGATCTAAGTCGCTTTTTTCAAAAACAAATATATAGTATATATTTGTGTAATATTTGAGGCAATTGAATAAGATACCGAATTTCAATTTGTTTTTACTTAATAACTTTTAATTAACGCTTTATAAATTACTTCAGCTAAAATCGATTATCGGTGCTTACTCTTTTCTTCCACTATAATTTATTAGCGTTAGACATAGTTACTTTAAAATTTATGCTTCAGCTAAAATCAGCTATTCATGTTTAACCGTCTCTTCCGTACACAGATCGCGCGCTAGGTAGTGTTGCCGCCTTGGATTTTTTTAAGGCGCCAAGTCAAAGGTAAAATGTCGCCAGATTTCAAAAATTTGGATTTAAATTTAAATATACACCAAAATCCGCTAAATTACAATTACATCTCTGATAACAAAAAACCCTTATTTAAATAAAAAACCAGTGAATATGTATGAGATGCTACAGACATAACTGTATCCCGTAGTCGTCTTAAAATAGTAAAATTTTGTTATTTAAAAAAAATGGCAATATTGTTTTTACCAACCTTAAACTTTTCCAAGCGTTACCTTAGTAGTACTAGAGAATGAAATAAAACCAGGTAAATATGTATTTACATTCATTATGTATCTATGTCATCAAAAAATAAATCTTTAATAAAATGTGAAATTTAAAATTCAATATTGTTAAATGTTACATCTTCTATAACTCCATCGTCGTTCACAGACGCCGACGCTTCTGTCAATGAAGCCAATGTCGAAGCTCAAGATGTTTGGTTGTGGTTGTAGTTGATTTTTGAAACAGTATTTTGTGTTTTTTAAATGATATCTTTTGATTGCCGGATAGAATTTGCATTTTTTGTTTGTACTTTTTTGTTTCAGCATGTCTTCTCAAATTTACTACTCTTGCTAATAATTCTGCTTTACAAAATGAACAAAATGCCTTCGCATCAACACCCGCTAAAGGTTTATGCCAGGTTTGGAATTCGTCGAGTGATTTCCATTCTTTTCTTTACTTTTGTATGTAATTATTTTTCTTGAATAGAATTTCCATAATAACATATAATTGAATACTCTTAACATACAAATTCAGGAGTTCACACACTGTGACAAACGTTTCTATCAAATCAAACTTTTTAACTTTTTAACAACACAATGAACGCAAACCTAATACCTGAAACAGAATGAACGATTGAAGGAAGCTCTTAACAGACAAACGCGTCTAGGAATTCCCCTGTAACCATAAGAGTAACCATAGAACATTAAGAAAGTTCGGAAAGTTAGGGGATTTCCCCCTTAAAAATATGTTGCTGGATTTTATGTTAAAAAACCACTAAAAACACTAAAAAAATATACCCGCTAGATAATGAAAATATACCACTAGAAGCCGTGAAAAAGCACCAGTTCTGGTGGAAAAACCACCAAGGTGGCAACACTGGTGCGAGTGAGTTACTCACTTTTATTCATTCATTGTTGAATCGCGCGCTGGGCAACAATGTTACTTTTTTGTTTAATTAATCACTAATAAACATTACTGGGTGAACTATTATCGAATATTAGAAGAAAAATAACGAAAAATAAACTTGATAAAAAAAAAAATGATTTCAATTTAACTTCAACATTTATTTTTATTTCATCGTGTTCAGCGCAAAATTTGCATTTAAAACATATATTTGCAATATGCCATACATATTCTTATACATTATCATATAATAAAATTGAAATCATTTTTTTTTGTCAAGATTATTATATGAAAAAGGAAATAAAAAAATGCCCGAAACATATTAATTAAATCCCAATGAAGCATGTAGCGGTGAACTCCCCAAGCAAAAAAAAAATACACGGCATTGCTCAGAGCGGCAGTGCAATGTGCTGATTTATGATTTTGACTTTTTTTCTTAGTTAAGTAGGTACTTCTCAACCTTGTCAAAAAGAATAATTGAGTAATGGGCTCTATTCCATAAAATAAAAAAATACGAAGTGGCATTTTATCATCACGGTAACCTGTCTTAAACCCAATTCCTCTCGTAAAATTACTTCCCCTATAGTTACATTTATTTTTTCGATTGAAATTAACTTTTATATCATTAATATATATAGCCTATCAACAAAACATACTACTGTTTGTTTACCTTCTTCCTTAGGGGCTGTTCAAGTATTACGTAAGCACTATAGGGGGCAGGGGGGTCTTTGCTTTGCTTATTTTTGATGACATGCGGGAGTGGGGGGTAGAGATGTTGATTACGTCAGCATCATCAATTAAGCCTTTTTAAGTACTGCTGCTCATAAAGCTCATGAAAGCTCATGAATCAATAAAAAAAACAGAATACATTAAAGGAAAAATGCATATAGGTACCAATGTTTACGTAAGGATGGGGGGGGAGGGTTAAGAGCTTTGCTTACTTTTGCTGACGAGGGGGAGGAGGGGGTAAATAATTGTAATAAATCTGCTTACGTAATACTTGAACGGCCCCTTATACATGTAACAAGCACTCAACTTTTGTCCTGGAAAAAGTTATCATTTCCATGGACAGTAAGTTTTTGTGAAATAGGTTCGTCTACATTGCGTTGTTGTGTCCCGCTTGTCAGTGCTCACTTCGAGCCAGTCCGCCTTCGCTGGAACACACGCACTCGCAACAACGTCATTGTGGATTCCCGCCAAATAGTAAGTATATCATTTCAGTGATATGGGGACAATTGATTCGGTGGACAGTAATGCCGATAAGAGTCCAGGGAATGAAAGTATCGCCGAAATGATACATCCATAAGTTTTTAGAGATCCTTGAGTCAATATAGGTATGTTTAATAGTTTCGGTTTATGATGTACATTTATCTAGATACTGTAGGTTCGATATTTCGGGTACAGAAGTATTTCTATCTAAAATATCTAGTTTAAAAATGTATATTAAAGTTAAAGTGGACGAATTTGTTGGCGGCCGATAGTATTCCTAATTAAATAAGTGTAAAAAATCAGTATTATACATCTGCACTTGACTCACTTACACATAATGAGTCATTAGAATGGTTTCTGAAGGAAAACGATCAGATTGGCTTGTTTCTGTAGCCAAAGATCTGTATAATCCATGGTACTCTTCAGGTATGACACCTTTGTTGCACAAATCATGAAGATCTTTTTTCTTTGCTATAGATCTTTTTTTTATAAATAGGTTCGACAAATGACTCCACCAGAGGTTAGGTGACGGAGGAGTTTAGACGCGAAGTTAGCTGGTACAGCAGTGTTACTTGCCACACCAGCTATCCTCATTTTGCCGGCCTGCAGAATTGCTACTTCACACACGTAAGAGGGCAAAGTAATCCATTTGCGGATAGTCTGGCAAAGAAATGAGTTACCAAATTTCTCTGTTCACGTTGGGATAGTGGGAATAGTAGTTCACAGTAAGTCGGTGACAACGTAAGCCAGCGCGTGTAGACTTCTGTAGGAAAGGGGAAGGTAGGTTAAGGGACAATAACTCCTCAAAACATGCGCTATGGTATAGACGATAAAACGCGCTTAATAACGCCACATCACGGCGTAATTGAAAAGGCTCGAGGTGTTTAGTCACCTCCTTATCGCCAATAATGCGGATCGCGCGCCGCTGTAACCTATCCAAAGCATCAAAAAAGTACTTGACGGGGTCATCCTCTGGGGTGCGAACAATATTCCACGCAAGACCGTACTTACGTCATGTACACAGTTGCTCAGGCGTGAAAAAACATTAGTTTTACCGTGAAAGCGCAGACCTGGGCTTTCTTGGCAATGAACTCAACCAAGTTCTTGGTACCGCATTCCGAAATGCGGTCCAAATCTTGATAGAGTTCAATGACAAGATTCTCCCGTTTCTCTTTGGTTTCTACCTGTCCAGCGGCTGCCTGTCCAAAATATCCCGCATGCACTGTATTATCGTCTGCATAGCAATGAATATTCTCAAGAGGAATTAAATCATTGAATGCAGCAAAAAGAGTGTAGGGGATAGGACGGAGTCCTGAGAAACACCGGCATTCACTGACATGAACTGCGAACTACATCCGTCGCCGTCCGTTGACGCTCATGCAGGAAGTCAGCTACTCAGGCACAGAACTGAGTAGGCAGACCGTATCCAAGAAGCTTGGAGATAAGACTTATGTGCCAGACCCTATCAAAGCCTTGGCGATGTTAAGGCTGATAGCCAAAGACTCACCTCGCTTATCGATAGCCTCATCCCAGATATATGTCACGTACGCTAGAGGGTCACCTGTCGATCGATTTGGTCTATCCTCTTTTACTTGCCTCAAATATTATGCAAACATATTATTTATATTTTTTTGCAAAAAGCGACAGACTAGTTAGTTTTTACTTCATCTAGTAAAATTAAAATATCTGGAAAAATTCAAACAGTCAAAGTCAATTACAGGATACTCACAGGATATTTACTCTAAGTGTCTACATGAAAAATGAGTTTAAATCCGAAACTTGGTTTCAGCGGTAATACATTTACAAACTTAAGTGTTTTGCATGGGTTTATTAGGTTTTAAATCAAGAATTTTGGAAATAATTTGCAGTTATTCTGTTTATTCATTAGCTATTTCACGAAGTATGCGTCGTAGAGCATAATGGGTTTTACCTGTAGATGCGGCTTAATGAGACGGGTCGATTGGTATTATAAAAGTTCAGTAGCGGAAAAGTGCAGATAATCGGTTTTGGCACTAAAGGGAGTATTTACTAACTAATAAACTTCTCGCTTTCTAAACGCGCTTTGTTCGTTATTTTGAAAATGTACATATTAATAATTATAATTAGTAATAATAATTAATAGGAGTAACCATTAATTAATTCTTCATTAATAATTCTTATTAAAAAATAATGAACAAAAATATTTAATAAGGAAATTTATTTAAATTCAAAATAGGGTACCCTTCTACTACAAAGGCGATGTTCTTGGCTGTATCATTTCGGTGGCCATTTTTTACCATTTCGGTAGACAATTTTCATTTCAGTGGACTGCCGAAAACTCATCCTTAAATATTTCAGTAAGTGGTGATTGTTGAATTTGACCCGTAGGATCATTTAAAAATGGAAAAAAAAAACTAACAATATATTTACTTTTTTTATTTTGCACCTTTAATTGCATTTTGTGCAAAAACTATGGGAGATACGCGAAAATATGTTGATACCTTTTTTGTAGGAAATTAAATTTTCTACAACTTTATACTAGGAACTTTTTCTATTTTTCCAGCCAGTCGCGAGATATTGAGGAAAAACTCGTTTTTGCACCATTTCGCATTTTTTTTTCAACCTTTGCCGTCAATGCAGCATCCTGCAATTTTAGTATATTAATCTACGAACCCTTGCGAAAATTTTCGCGTTGGTTGCAGGTGATCAACTCAAAATGGCAAAGTTAAGCCTTCATTGACTGGACTATAATCTTTACCGTCATCAAATGAGTGAAGATCATTATAGTCATTCTTTAAAAAACCTCTTTTGGGGCGAGTTATCAAAAAATATTTCATTGCGTACCAATTTGAATGGCACGTTGTTGATTTTCTGTCGGTCATGATCATAATATATGTATTAAATCTGAACCGATACCATTGATACGAGATGACAGAATATATTTGTTAAGCATTAATATTGGAATATCTGGAACTCTCGATATCTTTTTGCTAGAAATAATGGGAAGTCAAGTAGGTAAAAATGATTGAGAAAAATGTTGTAATTTATTTTTGTAGACCTTCGATAAAGGATATTTCGGAGTGTCTACAATAGGTTGCTTTGATTATGCAAACAAAGGGTATTTATATATAATATAGGGTCGGTTCGCCTGTTCGCGTCCATTTAGTGCAGTTGGAAAGTTTGACGGCGATAATAATAATATCCCAGCACTATCATCATCAGCCTATTAATGTCCCCACTGCTGGGGCACAGACCTTCCCTATGGATGGAATAGGGAGATTGGGCCATTACCCACCACGCGGGCCCAGTGCGGATTGGCGGGTGATCCCAGCACTAATTTCTATGAAAAAAATTATATAATGTGTTCATTATATAGTCTATTTTAAGATTAACTTTCAGTTTTGTTTGAAACATCTATTGTTTTTTATTTAAACAGATAAACTCCGGAATAAGGCGTTTTACCCACTTTGCGTCCACAAAATCCAAATTGCGTCCACCCGTGGACCATTTAGCGTCCACCACCTTAGAAAAGGAATATAGGTGTGATATTTTTAAATTTTTTTTAAAAGATTGTACCTATTTGAACAATTTCTTTATTTTAGAATATAAATATTAAACCAACATTATTATCATTAAAATTATCACTTTAAAAATGTAAAAAATATTCTTCTCAATATGGATTGAATTTAAAATTATATAAGTAGGAGGTAAATAATGATTGCATCTTTAAGAATAAACAGTAATCAGTTCTGTTAATATTACCCTAAAATCACAAGGCATGTTTTTCTCATCGTCGTCTTCTACATCTGAAATTAGTATGTCGTCACATTTAGAAAATTTTCTGTCTTAAATTCCTGATTTACCATTTCCTGTGTGACTTCTTGAAGAGCATGTATCTTCTTCTTTCGTTTTGGAGCAGTTTTACGAACCGTTTGAGAGTTTTAAACTCTGTTCTTGTTTCTCTATAACTTTCTTTTTCGTATTGCTTCCTGCTTTTCGTTCTTGATCTGCTCTTTATCTTCTTAATACTTACTCCATGCAACAGAAGATATGGTTGCTAGAGTTATTTGATTATCTTTTCGTGCCTTGTTAGAAATTTCGGGTAGCATCAGGTGGTGTCTGGTCCCGGTTTCTTTACTTCATTTGGTCTGCGCCCACTGATATTGTACAATATGTCTATGTGTCCTACCGATTTATTCTTTTCTCGAATTTCATTTAACGCTTTCTTTAAATCTTCTTCTGTGTATATTCACTTTTCCTTCTACTTTCTTGTCTCCGAAGAACACATCTCAAATAGAAAAAAAAAAAAAGAATGAAACAAATAAAGTATTTGATCGATTGATTGAAATTACTCATTTCATTTAAAAATAGCATTATAAACACCTAGTCTTAATAAAAATGTATAATAATAATAATCAATACCTATATTTTAAATTATAATAAATTAATAGTATTTTACGAAAATAGTGGACGCAATTTGGTTTTCTGTTATCCCCTGTAGGTACAGTTTGCGTCCATGTCGGACGCAAATTGGAAGTTTTGTAATTTCGATGTAGTAATTCGCGTCCACCTTATTTTATTCATTAAATATGAAAAACATAAGAAATTTTATAATTAATATCATTCCTTTGTTCACTATAAAAGTCTAGAAACAGATATGTATCCTAAAATTAACATAAAAAAATAAAAAACTTACCATCGAACGCGCCGCTGCACACTATTTTTTATCTAAACATCCCGCGTGTACGCACTCCCTTGATGAATAACCGAGACTAATTATTTTATTTAAACGGGATTGGTTGGCGCACCTACATTTTGACCATGTGTTCGTGCCTCTTATATATTAAGGTATTAGCGCTAATTACTTTTCGTTTGATTGGTGTGTTAGTTTACTTATTTTTGAGGATTTTTTAAGGGAGATCCGTAAAATGGACGCGAATTGGGCGATGGACGCGAACAGGCGAACTGACCCTAAATAACTAAATCAAAATAATAAGCTATACAAAAGCTTCAGCTCAATTTTGCACTAGTCTAACGAAACTAACGATTATATATCTGAGATACAGGCTTTCTGCCTAGTTCAGGCACCAGTCTCTCACAGTCTATTTTATTGTTCTTATATAAAATTATAGTATAATAAGTTGTCACGTGATTTGTAGATTGTGGAAGAAGAAATAAAGATCATTACTATATTAAATATATAACGAAGAATAGACGAAAATGTTTAAAGAATATTGTAATTAGCTTTCAGCGTTCCACCTACAGCTTCATACATGTGGACTACTTATAACTTTTGCTTTTGACTTTTTTTTGTGCGGGGTGGTATCCAACAGTATTTAGTAAAACCTACAGATGCAGTTGTGACTTAATGTCGGCTTAGGCTCAATTTATACCGCCGCGGAATGGAATGGAAGCAAATTTTTGCAACGAAATTTTGTATAGCTAATGAACTTTATGATATTGATATAGATGCGTGAGGACTCCCCGGAAGACTCACAGCTAGGTTAGGTTTTCCTATTTGCACAAAATCAATTTATTTGTACATGAAAAAAGACCTACTTTGGCTTTCAGATCAGACTTGGAGCTGATATACAATTGAAAGACATAAATTCTAGAAATGTACTACACTTAGTAGTCATGAACGGAGGAAGACTTGAAGATTTCGCTGCCAGTTGCAAAGTAAGTGACCTATTATTAAGAAGCCTATGTAACTGCAAAAAATATAAACTTGCAAATCTGCAGTGTTGCATGTTTTAAAGTGTTAAAATTTTAGCTTGTCTCTTCAGAAACAAGGAATCGATTTATTAGATTACCTGCCCATTTATTTTATTACTATGTATACTTTGGAAACAGCACCGGTGGTTACGTACTGGTAATACATAACGAGCATAAAAACATATACATAACATATCAGTGATACATTTTTATATACTGTAAAAAATTATCAAGAATACATTTTATTTATTAGATATTCAAGAATACATAATATTTTTCAATAATGGGTCCCAACTGTTAAAGTAGCTTTGTTCCTTATTAGCAGAATTATAGACTACTGGACTTGTTTTTTTCTTTTCAGTTTTTATTTGAAGTATAATTAAGCAGTCGGGTTTTCTGATTTTTTAAATTTACCTTTTTATTTTACACTTTTTAGTTAGTTAGTATTTTAAGACGGTATACGAGGTTTGTTCAAAAAGTATCGCGAATTTCATGTTTTTCCAAGAATTATTTATTTATTCATGAATATCTATTTCGTTCCCTTCAAAGTAATCATCAGACATTATACACTTGTGATAACGTTTTTTCCAATCCTCGATGCATTTTGAAAAATATTTTTTTGTGATCTTGTTCAGCTCCTCCTTCGATGCCATCTTTATCTCCTCAATCGTGGCGTAGTGTCGTCCTTTCATTGGCCTCTTCAGTTTCGGGAACAAGAAAAAGTCACAGGGGGGCAGGTCTGGGGAATACGGTGGCTGCGGTATAATTAGAATGTTGTATTTAGCCAAAAATACGCGGTCGAAATTGAGCAATTTTGGTAAGAATTTCGCGGCTACCCGTCTCATGCCCAAACTATTGATAATAATCGAATGGCACAAGCCAATCGATATATTTAGGTCCTCAGCAACTTCTCTGACGGTGATTCGACGATTGTCCAATACTAGTTTCTTTACTTCATCAATGTTTTCGTCTGTTGTTGACGTGCTCGGGCGTCCGGAACGCTCTTCGTCGCTCTTCATCGCTCTCATCTTCTCGGCCCTCTGAGAACATTTTATATCACCGATAAACGTTGCTTTTGTAAAAAGTAGCTTCACTGTATGCAACAGTCAACATTCTGAATGCGTCCGTGCACTTAAAGTTATACAAATTCTTTGATCCATTTTTTGGAATAGACGAAAATCGAAGACAAGCTTAAACACGCACAATAGCTGTCAAAAACTGACTGGACATTCAAAATGACCGAAATTGTTAACATAAGTGAGGGTCATGAGTACCAACATAACGCCACCAAAAGATCAAAAATCGAACATACGTAGCCCAAGTCAAAATTCGCGATACTTTTTGAACAAACAGTGTATACCGTAGTGTTGTTACTTCAGTAAGGGAATTAATATCGCGGGAATTATTAAGTACCTTGCAGTGGTCTAAAAGATTGATTTATTAAGACATTAAAGAGGCTTTAGAGCGGGGTCAAGGCTACAGATGGGCCTCAATTTTCGCAAAAATGTGTTAAGTTAAATCAATATCTAATGTATGTAAATTTTATAGTAAACTAGCACTTATTCAAAAAGTCATCTTTTGTTTATGTTTTTTTAGTAGTTTAGCAGTAAATATTAAATTCATTTACTTTTATTTGTCGACTATTTAAAATTGGCAGTGGCTGCATTGTCATGTCAACGTCCGGCTCTAAGATTGTGATATACACAAATGCAGTGTCATATCCTAGTCTCATAATTTGATATACCTACATAATTCACAGACACCCAATATGTAGATGCCAGAAGTTAACTTCAAATATTGTTAATCACCCTATATACAATACCAATCAATGACGTTTATGTCGCATATTGCAAATAGTACAATCATGGCAATTATTTTCCAAAAAATTTTTTTGTATAAAAAAATACCGAATAACGTGTGCTAAGTAACTTTTACAAATATAATCAAATAAACCTATTACTTACTTTATTTTTTAATCTTTTTCATCTATTAAATACTATTATCCTAACTATCTATACTAATATTATAAAGAGGCAAGATTTTTATGTTTGTAACAAATAATCTGTCAAACTACTGAACTGGTTTCAAATATAATTTCATCATAAGGTAGCTACATTATTTATTATTACATTTTTCTTTATTTAAATACATTTTGTCCGAGTGACATAGGCTATATTTTATCCCGATAAAATAAATTCCGCCCGTACAATGCCCGGGTGGATGACAAGTAAGTATAATATAATATTATAGATGCGAAAGTGAGTTTGTTTGTTGTGCTTCCGTGCCCTAATAGCTAAATCGATTATAATGAATTCCCCTATAGAAGTAGATGGGAACTTGGTTCTTAGCTACAACATCGCAATACTTATAGGCGTAGGGTGATGAAAGAGGTGATTTACCTATAAAAATCTATACTATTTACTTTGAATTTTGCAGTATCGTTTATAATTACAAAACCAATATTATCGAGAGCTGATTAATAAATACAGGGATTCCAATAAGTATGTACCTACTAGCGAAAAATGGGTTATTTGTCATTATATTAAGTAAACCTTCTTTGTAACATTAAGTAATATCGTAAAAAAAATTAAAAACAGTATAATTCTGAGGTTTTCAATAAAATTCAATAATCATAAATACCTATTATGATAATTTATTTTTCATCGTTTAATAATAAGGAACTGTATCACAGTTTTATTGTAAGTACCTATTTTAGCGGTAATGGTTACACATTAAAAATAGATATAAGTATGGTGTCACGTACTTTTTTTTAGAACTATTTAAGAGATACATTTTCACTCTACATTACATTCATGTAACTTTTATTGTTTTTACAGTGCAGGCCAAAATGGCTCGCAGATGGGAGATTTTTTTCCGTCTTATGTGACACTTATTGTTATATTTTGGCAAATTCACATAAAACTACATAAATTATTATATATATGTTATTATCATATATGAGTTATATTACTGTTAAGTTCGATTAAAATCCATTTAGTATTTTTAAGGTGAAAGAGTAACAAAGATCCATACAAACGTAAGATTGAAATTAAAAGCGCAAGTGGTTAATATACAACTTTAAAGCGTTGTAGATCCTAAAAAATCAAGTAAAATGAAAAATGGTTTTAGCAACCTAAACATTATTTTCGTTTGTCTAGATAGTGATACCCCACTCGACATATTTTGTCAACTTATTTTTTTTACTTCGTCACAATATGGCACCTAATTTTTCCCATATTGAATTTTGATTACTATCATATCTTTAGTAGCACTCCCATGATTGAGACGAATCGATTGATGTATGAATCATCAAAATCGGTCCAGGCGTTTGGTCTCTAGTGTGCCACAAAGGAACAAACATACATATATAGACTGTTAAACACTATACCCTGTCTGCGCGTCGCGCTTCGCGCTCTTGCATTGCGCGTCGCGCTTCGCGCTCTCGCATTGCGCAGCCGGGTAAATTAAACACTATACCCTGTCTGCGCGTCGCGCTTCGCGCTCTTGCATTGCGCGTCGCGCTTCGCGCTCTCGCATTGCGCAGCCGGGTAAAAAAGGATATTCGTCGTGCGTGGTTTTTATTGTGTAGTTTCTACCGTTACTCTTTACTGTGCTGATATAATTTAAAAAAATACGCTTATAAGAACCATTATTGTTGAAAATCACTATAGACTTAATATTTAAATTCAAACTTATCGTCGACTTTACCCATCATTAGACGGGTGGCTGAAAATGTAAAGGTACACTTGTATAGATTAAATCTTTGAAAATATTACTTCATTATCACACTTTAATGATATCACGTTTGGCTTCTTCTAGCACCTCGTATTAGTAAGTTTATATAAATACCTCCTTCAAAAGCACGTCGGATAATTTGTTGGATGTCGACATCCTGACGTTGCTGAGTATTCATGATTCACTCAATATTCACACGTGTCGTGTTACAAGCCTAAGAAATTACTGCTAAGCAATGGAATTATTCAACATTGTGATCTACCATCGTATCAATTAATGTTTCACAAGGTGATCCCAAATATCCCTATGCCACATTTTCATAAGAATTAACAAACAATAAAGAATTCAGTAATAAATCTTCGCTAACTCAAATTTAGATGTATCTTTTCATTCCTCCTATTATTAAAGTAAATGTTCGTATTTTGTCTACCTGGATATTATTTTACTTAAAGTCGATACATTTAAATTTTTTAATTCCTTCGATCGAAAATATTTACAGATATTGAATGAAATCGCGTAACACATCACCATCATTAAACTTCACAAAATAATCCGAATTAGAATCCAGAATAAAGTAAAACCTCGACATGTCCAAAGGTAGTAATAAAATTAAATACAACAGACTTTAAAGACGAGCAAATCGGACGTTTAACTTTTAAGACCCCGACGAAGAAAGTTGTAACGGAGTTTTATTGCCTTTCCAACTTACGCCACTTCGGACCACTGTCCGAGGGGAGAGATAATAACATCTCATATGTCTGACCTTTTTTTAGGGTTCCGTACCCAAAGGATAAAAACTGAACCCTATTATTAAGATTCTACTGTCCGTCGGTCTATCGTTCTGTCTGTCACCAGGCTGTATCTTATGAACCGTGTTAGCTAGAAAGATAAAATTTTCATTAATTTAATGTATTTCTATTGCCGATATAACAACAAATACTAAAAACAGAAAATAAATAAATATTTAAGGCGCTCCCATACAACAACCGTGACTTTTTTGCCGTTGTATACTCTATATTAATAATAGCAACATGTAGACGCTTGAAATATTCACAGAATGTTTAGTTGTATATACAATTTAAAAATAAATAGAAATGAAATAAATATTTAGAGGGTGCTCCTATACAACAGAGGTAATTTTTTTTTACCGATTTTTGGTTGTAGGACCCTGCGTACGCGAGTCCAGCTCACACTAAGCCGGTTTTTTCTATTTCATGTATTGGTTACTTGTATTATGCTAGTATGATAATATTAGCACACAGTTTTAACCGACTTCAAAAAAGGAGGAGGTTCTGTGTTCAACTGCATATACATATATATTTTATGTATGTTCACCGATTTCTTCGTCAATTGTGGACCACGCTTAAACGGGTTCAAAATGCATCGTTTTAATATTTTTTGACGTTTCGCATCCTTTTCAGGCTGCGTCGTCAGAATTATGATTTTTCTTTACTTTTGACGAGCTAACCTACCTTCTAAAGACTTTTATTGAATGTTCAGATACTTCATTGAAAGATAATTGAAATTTTATTGTCTATGTATGAATTTATTTGCTGATGTAATTCATAAAATACTTTATTTCTAATTTATTTCACCCCAATTACCGTAAACTACGACCGGTTCCAAATTGGGAGACATTCCTGAGAAAAACCGGAGAAAAACTCTCAGAGAGGGTTTTTGTCTCGTTCTTATGTTAAATCATGTAAACAAAAAGAACAAATAGTATCTGTTAGTCTTGCTATATCTTGGGATTTTATCTGTTCGATAATGGGTTCTCAAGTTGGTGGTATATATGAACCATCTTCTCTATTGAAAATTGGATGTCCTTAATCTCAACAGTCTCGCATAGCATACTAGAAATGAATCGTTTTTCAGTTGCAAGGATCTGTGGTTTATCAAATCTAATATAATTTTAACTAATTGGTCCCTCTAATGTATGTTCACACACTGCAGACTTGTTTCCGCGCCTATGTTTCATTTGTTAGTCCGATGTAGGATAAATATATTAATATTAAATATCCGATGTGCAGGTATTCGACGTTTTCTTTTTGTTTTTACAATTAATATTAGGTAAGTATATGATTATCCTTTATTCCGGCAAATGTTGTTAACACTAAAATAGTACTTTTGGTAATTAATAAAAAAAGAAACATATTTTTGCATATCTTATTAATTTAAAAAATGTAATATTATGTTTTTACACGAAATAGGTACGTGAAATATGATGGTTTTTCTTAACATGTCATTGTTATTTATACCAAAGTCTTGTTATAAAAGAGCTTGGATATACAGCCCCGAAAATTCAAGAAGTTGGTGTTTACGACCACTAATAGATCAGCCGAGAGCGATTTGTAGGGATAACAAAAGATAGAAGTTTGAACCAGATTTCAGATTCACTTTGCGCTCGATGCAACAATCTGTACCTAATATCTATACTATTATTTATTATATTATATTAATTCGTTAATTATTTAATATTATATACTCGTATAATTATAACGATTCATCTCGCTCGTGGGTCTTGACGACTTTTAACCTCCCATACAAGCCCGATTCCGAAAAGGTTATAGTACCATAGACCACATACTTACGCTGCGACAGGTACACAGAAGACAAGATTACAACCTGCCACTATGCTTAGCGTTTGTGGACTATTAAAAAGCCTTCAATTCTGTCGCAAAATTTTTTAATCACTCGCCTTGCGTCGAACGATCGATTTCTATTCATTTTGATTCGACATAATAAATTCCGTATTTTTGAATCGCTCGACGTCAACAAGCGGTCTCGACTACTCGTTGCGCGTTGGAGAATGATGGAGGCGAATGGTAGAATAATTGTCAAATTTATGTCAGACATTTTCAAGATTTTTTCTCAATCTTTTTAAAATACAGATAAGATGACGATTTGATTCGACGTTTTTATCTTTTCTAACAAAAAAGGCAAAAGATTAAATAACCAGTTATTGAAAATGATAAGTGTATCTTTCACAGTGGTAATAACTGCTTTATAACTTTTTCCGTGAAATTAATAAAAATAAATATTTTGTATTAAACTGGTAGCACTGTAGATGAACGCTTCAAAAATACGGAAAATCAATATCATGCGACTTTGAAGTCGAAAATGACTTAAGTCCCATTCGACGATACTATGTCAGGCGAGCGAATCAAAAATAGAGCTCCTGGGCCATGCTTCAGTGAGTCACCAGAGGTGCCGAATAGACTATCGTTTCATCCAAGTGTCTGAAGGTTGTGTTAAAGCTATTGGACTCTGTAGAGTTCACTAAGAAGTGGGTCTTAAAATGAACATGGACAAGACGCAAAATGATGTCTAATTCGCATGTCGTACCCACTCCAATGCAAGTTGCAAGCTTTACACTCGAAGTTGTCGACGTGTATGTTTACCTGGGACAAATAGTCCAACTTGGTAAGTTCAACTTCCAAAAAGAGGTCAATCGACGAATCCAACTCGACTGGGCAGCGTACGGGAAGGTATGCAGCATATTCTTGGGCCATCTACCGCAGTTTCTCAAGACGAAAGTCTTTAATACATGTGTTTTGCCAGGAATGACGTATGGAACTGAGACGTGGTCGCTCACAATTGTAGTTGGCTCAAAGTCACCCAAAGGGCAATGGAAAGCTCGGGGTTTCTCTGCGCGATCAAATCAGAAATGATGAGATCCGCAGGAGAACTGGGGTTCACCGACGTAGCCCAACGAATTATTGCAAGCATTAAGTGGCAGTGGGCAGGACACAGTGCAAGGTGGACTGACGGCCGTTGGGGCGGAAAGGTCCTCTAGTGACGGGCGCGTACTGGGAGACGCAGCGTCGATAGTCCCCCCACAAGGTGTAAGTCACTGGATGAAGACAGTGCGGGATTGGAATTCCTTGGCTATGACCAACAGTGGGCGTTTCTCGGCTGATATGATGATGATGATTATTATAATAATGTAAAGCTAATCAGTTTGTTTATTTATTTGAACGCGCTAAACTACTGGTGCGATTAGAAAAAATATTTTTGTGTTGGATAGTGCATGAACCGAGGAAGGGTATAGGAGCGAAGTGCCATTGAAATATGTTGCATAAATGGGAAAAATATAGCATTTGTGAGGTTTCGTTGCGTGCGCTGCGCAAATGGTGAAAATTATATCATATACTATGTATTACGGAATTGTTCCCCTGTAAAAGGTCTATAAAAAAGTCCGCGACTACATAATGTCTATCTTTTAAGGGTGACCCACTATATTCTTGTTCCTCCCCAGGTGAAACTGCAGGGCACCTCCACTAAACAATATGTGTGCACCAGATTTAATAAACACTTAACAAAAATCTATTATTTACAATATTATGACTGTACTTTTATTCTCTCTCCTCGTTCAAATAAAGTTCCGAACCTCAAGATAATTATTCTATTATATTTCTTCTATCTACAAGCACCGACGGTTGATCTTCCAGGATCGTTGTGAGAAGAGTCTTGCAGAACTCCTCAACGAAAAAGATAACACTGGCTGTTCCCCACTCCACTACGCCAGCAGAGAAGGCCACATCAGGTCTTTGGAGAACTTGATCAAGCTTGGTGCTTGCATCAACCTGAAAAATAACAACAACGAGAGCCCACTGCACTTCGCAGCCAGGTATTATATTTTTATAGATATGTTAGAGAACTTAATCTAAAATTTGCGATCATTTACAGCATTTTACGCGTGGTCAACGAGAGTGAGTCACTAGTGCTAAGTTCCTGCCAGAGTCTCTTTTGTAAATGAGACAAAAAAATAAATTAAATGAGCGCTTACAGGAAAAATAAATGCCTAAAATAAATAGTGCCTCATGTCAAAAAATATCATTTAAAGTCAAGTGTTATCTTTTATTATTTTATCAGGGAAACAACAATCTTATCAAACTTAAAAGTTAAAATTGATGACGCTGAGTACGGCTGTTAGAGTACTACGTTAAAACAAAGTATTTAATGAGTAATGTACCTAGGCCGATGATAACTACTTTACGTTGATAACATCAGTCAACACGAATTTTGAGTCTGAGTTCTTTGTACCAGTTTTTGATTTCTTATTTATTTATGATGATGATTTATGATTTGTTTACCAAAAACAATAAAACCAAGTCTATGAATACAAAAAAATATCTTGAATTAGTTTTAATTCAGGGGAAAATGTCTAGATAACTATGACGTAGAGCTTTAATAAATTGTTTCAATAAACCAATTGTTTAGCCAAGCATAGGGACCACAACGAATATGAACATATCATTCTTAATATTATCTATTATTTTTCTGACACTCTGAATGTGCTGCTGGTAGTGAAGTAAACAATACAATGTGTGACGCCCATATTTTATACTTACGACAATTAAGAAGTTAAAATACAGCTTCATAATCATGCTTAAATTATTCTTAAACTACTGGATAAACTAAACATTTTGATCCTAAATTAATTAAAACATCCGCAAATATAGCAAACAGAGTCCACGTAGTTTTAGAAAGAATTTTACCGCTCAAGACTCACAAAATTTGTCGTTTCTCCAAAATGTGAGTACACACACTGAGTGTCTACTCTGCTGCTCCCTGTTCCATACTCGATATCCTTTGGCACTCCTCTGTTTTGCTTATTAACCACAGAAGACCCTAAAGCCTTTTACAAAAACCATACATTTTTATTTATTATTGCTAAGAGTAATTATGACGTTGGATTTTGTAATGGCAATAAGTTAGCTGTTTTAGAATCTTTAATAGAGGTTTTAAAGCATGGTTGTAGATAAATCAATAAATGACAATGCGATTGGCCTCTTATTTGTTTGTGACTCCAGATACGGTCGCTATCACACCGCCTGTCAGCTTCTCGACTCCGACAAAGGCACGTTCATCATCAACGAGAGTGACGGCGAAGGTCTGTATCTCTAACGGAGTGGCTTAGACGCAACCGTTGTCCTTATTTAGTTCCTTTACTTAACCTTTCTGGTCATAAGTAATTTCATAAAACGACCAATGTTATAGTTTCTTTAATCTATCATAAAATATACGTTTTCAAGTTTAATCGTTCTTAAATGCTATTTATCAAACATACTTTACCGCTAATTACCGTCGCAGCTCTGACTCCTTCCCACATCTCTTCCTGCCAGTGTGGCAGTAGAGTCATCCAGTCATCATCATTGGCCACGATCGTACGATGAAAATAATCGTACGATGATTGGACAGGGGTGTCCTAATAGATTGCGCGATGCCTATCGTGCGAAGCTGTCGCATGATAGCGTCGCGCCGCCATCAACTCACCAGCGCCATTTTAACAAAGGTTCTTTATAGAGACGCACAGTTTTGGCTGTGGGGACATATACCTTCTTCATCCTTTAACCAGTGTTGCCCCTCGCCCCACTCGTTCCACGGGTTGCTGAGCTCGTGCAATGACGCGCAACCAAATTGGACACTCAAAAGTGATCGGTGTTTTTTATTACATGATCATACGATTAACTCTATCGAACGATAATTATTAAAATTAGTTATGCTCGTGAGACTGCTTACGAGCTGTAATTAGGACACTTCTGAAAAGTCTGTATGGTAGAAAATCATCGCATGACGATCACGTAACGTGTCATCGTGCGACCATAATGGGAAGAACCCTTTATATCTCGCTGCGATGAGTCTATTCCATCCAAAGGGAAGGCCTGTTTCCCAGCAGTGGGGACATTAATAGTCTGATGATGATTATTATTTATCGCAGGTCTGACCCCTCTCCACATATCTTCCCGCGAAGGTCACACCAGAGTCGTCCAGTTACTCCTGAATAGAGGAGCGTTACTCCATAGGGATCATAATGGGAGGAACCCTTTACATCTCGCTGCGATGAGTGGATACACTCAGACTATCGAGTTGCTGCATTCAGTCCACTCCCATTTATTGGACCAGGTGGATAAGGATGGGGTGAGTTAGATTTTTGGATAAGTATTACCATTAAAGAAATGTTACAAGAAAAAATATTCAGATGTTAGGCTGGGTTCGAACATAAGATATAATATTATATCTTACAGCTAAGTTAACTCATTTTGCAGAATACACCTCTGCATTTGGCAACAATGGAAAACAAGCCAAATTCAATAGCGTTGTTGCTGTCGATGGGAAGCCGCTTGAGCTACAACAATTTAGACATGAGTGCCATCGACTACGCGATCTATTACAAGTTTCCCGAAGCGGCGTTGGCTATGGTCACACATGAGACAAGGTAAGGGGAGAAATGGTTCATCCTTCATATCGTCTATCACGTGCTTAACGAACTCTACCAACTCTCCTAGATTTTTGAAATTCTATTTATTTTTGGCAATAGGCTATTTAGTCAGAAAGCCTCACTTATAAATAAATCAATTATCAAAGATATTCAAACAACTGCATTAATCATTTTGTTTTTTGCCGACGTTAATGTTATACCAAATCAAGTATACTCGGATTTGTTACAGTTACTTAAGGTATTTACAGCTGCGTTCACAAAACAAACCATACAAAAGTTAACAATAGTAGATTGTATCTTAAGGGAGCAAAATAATATTTTTACAGCGAGGGCGTTTTTTTTAATCCAGAGCGAAATGAGGGATTCTAGAGTAAACCCCGAGCGTAGCGAGGGATGCTTTAGTAGAATCCTGAACATAGCGAGGGATTCTTTAGTAGAATCCTGAACGTAGCGAGGGATTCTTTAGTAGAATCCTGAACGTAGCGAGGGATTCTTTAGTAGAATCCTGAACGTAGCGAGGGATTCTTTAATAGAATCCTGAACGTAGCGAGGGATACAAAGTACGTCGCCCGAGCTATAAATATATTTTGCGCCGGAGTGATACACTCTACTTTTCATCACCCCCTATGAGATAATAAAAGGTGCCTCATATTTATTAACATAATATTTAATAAAACATAGAGTAACAACTAAATAGAAATTAAATAGTATCTAATAATAAAACAACTAAAAACTTATATTTACATAATATGAGACATTTTTGCAATTATGAATTTTTTTGTTACAGTTTTATTAGAATTAAAGATTGTTGTAGATTTTATAATCTGCGTGTTTGAAATAATGTCCGAATCTGGCTCATTTTCAGTTGCCATTTTGATAGGTATTTCTGTACAATAGTTTTGAATTAAAAATCATCTGGCAACGCTGGTACAGATGCAACACACTCAAATAAGCTATAGTCATATGTCACCTAGTCGATTTAGTGGCCCCGGATAGATACAAAAGTGGTTGCTACCACGTTCGGGTCTATCCGGGGCTTCAATCACTAAAAAATGTACCATCAAAGTGTGGAGGCACGTTCAGTTTTAGGTTAGACGATCTCTACCAATCCATAAAGTCTGAATTTCATCTAAAAGAATCTAGAAGAATCTTAACAACAAAGAACTCCCCCTGCTCTATTTTGTAATGATAACTGTAATGCGATATATGCTAGGTGGACGAATTTTTTTGTGGCGATGTAATCATTCATTTTCAAAATATTATTTACAGAGCCAAAGAAGTAATGGCGTTAAGATCAGATCGTCACCCATGTGTGACGTTGGCACTTATAGCGTATATGCCGAGGGTATTTGAAGCTGTCCAGGATAAATGTATCACCAAAGCCAACTGCAAAAAGGATTCTAAAAGTTTTTACGTGAGTTACGAATGAAATGATGAAGTGTTTGCCGAGATGGCTACGTTGTTCAAGTACCTACCTTAATCTGATTCTTCGCACATAAATGTTAGCCAGGAAGTAATGCTAAGTATATTGTCAAAGTATCTAGTTCTTGTTGATTGAACTTATTCAATCAATCAATCTCTGCGGACAATTTTGAATTTAATTTATCAATAAGTATAGTATTTAATACAAAATAAAATCATTCTTTATAATAATGGCTAATATAAGCGTGGTTAGGTCATTGGTTTTTTTTTGAACTTGCTATTATTTCTTCCCATATTTATATCTGCTCTTACCTTACTGGACTGGAAAAGTAATAATATAATCATTGCCACAATCAGATAGTAAAAGTCTATAAGGAGATAAAATAGACCAGGAAACGATTGCTAGCAATCGTCTGCTACCCCATCGCTTTTTTTTCTGTACTATTCTCAGAGCCAACCAACCCAAACCAGTTTGGTATCGAGGAGTTTTAAAGTACAGAAACTTTAATTACACCAATTGTATTCATCAAATCTTCTACTATTGCAACTTGCTTTGCTACCTGGCAAGGTCTATGTATTTAGTATCTTCTCATAGCTAAAACCAATTAACCACTTTTAACAAAAGTACCTAGGTAAAATAGTTAGTTCTGAATATCAAATTTAATGTTTCTGGAAAATCTAGATCAAGTACAACTTCGACGCATTATGTCCTCTACTGAAAGACGACGATGGCACAAAGAAAACGGAGAGCATGCCAAAAACGCAGAAAATTCCGTTGCCAGCGCTCAATGTAAGTCTATAGAATGACTCGATACTGATTCATTGTTTTTCCTAACAGATTAAGTACTCTTTCAAATTCTACCAACACTCGAAACTAGAATTAGACGCGCTGAGACTCGCGCTCAACGACCCAAAATTTCGACCAGAACCGTTGAATGTGATCAACGTGAGTGAAAACCAAACAGCATTGGTGCATCGCTTTGAAAAACGGTTTTTGCCATGAAATCGTTGATGTTAGAATTAAGTGTAATGAACAAGCAACTGTAGAAGTTCTATTAAATAATTATTGAATTTGTTTCCGAGTATCGTATCAAAGTTTACAGAAACACTGTTTTCGGAGAGCATGATTCACCAAATCATGTTCATCTTCGTTCTGTCCGCTTACGTATGCCTTTGGTTGTATCAACTATATATGTATTATAGTAGTGTTAAGTATGACCAAGATAATAAATTAGAAAAGGACAATGGACAATAAACACCCAGCTCCGCCATCAAAGAAATTAGTATGAATCGACAGATCTATGAAATATTAGCCTTTTTATTATGACACTTAAAAAAATATCTTGTTAATCGAAAGATATGACAGATGGGCATATTTAAGTAGTTACATAAATTTATTTTATATTATTAGTAACCATAATAATGTGCCGACCAACCTGCGCTTGTACTTACTGAGACACCTCAAAACGGTTTACGGGGTAGGGATACGGGGGTTGAAGGACTTGCAGTTGTCAACCGAGTCGACTCATATGCAGTTCTTCGTCTTACTTCGTTGTGATTGTGCGCTCCCTGTTACTCGATTGATTTTTAACTAACACCTTTTGGACATTGGAACACGATTATCGGTCTTGTGAATTAGTATGGATGAACTGGAATCATGTTTTCTCCATTTTACGTAGAAGACAATTTATTTGAAAGAACAGACGGTTTAAAAAATCTCAACCTATCTGGCTGTGATGAATTTAAAATCATAATTATATGCAGTAAAATATGCTTCCGAAGAACAGTGTTAAAGTCAAATGTTAAACATATCCATATTATCAAAAGATATCTTATTTCTAAAATATTACGTCGTTCAGTCATTTGATTTCATGGCACACTTAACTCCCAAACGTATTTGTACCACAGCAAAGCTTTTATTTCACTATAATTGTATGGGTGATTTTATGGTGGTGGACAAAAAATGTATCAGCTTATGTCTTTCAATGTTATTCTTGACACATGGATGTGTTTGCACATTTATGCGGTTTTATCCACAGTCAATCACAAAATCCACCGATATATTATTACATATCTACACCAGTCGTTCAACGTTTATATTTTAACGAGTGTTGGAATTCTTAAAAACTTATCAAATAATTATGAACTATGAAATTATTTCCAGGCAATGGTAGCACATGGCAGAGTTGAACTCTTAGCACATCCCCTGAGTCAAAAATATCTTCAAATGAAATGGAACTCCTATGGAAAATATTTTCACTTGGCAAATTTGTTATTCTATTGTGTTTACTTGATCTTTGTTACCGTATACACATATCTTCTCATGACTAATGTTAATCCAAGCACAGCTGTGATGAAAAGATCCTTCAATAAATGCGAGGGGTCGCCGCAAAATGTAACTCTTCAAAACAGTACTTCAAATCTGACTAGAAGTGAACATAATTTAGATAAAATTTTAGTCAAATCGTCCAAGAACTCAATAGGTAAGGGGCAAATAACGATTTCGTTAACTTATTTTGGTCATTTTCTCTATTTTCTTATTTATCATGAAATGATTGTAAGTATATCTAGCCATGTATTTCAAATGTAGATTCAAATATTTTTGTTGCTATTTTTATTAACTCCCATGTGTGTATTTTATTTAATTTCATCAAATTATATACTTTGAAATCAAATTAAAATGTTCTTAGGTTTAGCTTACGTTTTTCAGATTTTGAAGCGATGATAGCAATGTATACAAGTACAGTCGCTATAATAGTATACAACACCATTTGTTTGGTAAGAGAAGCATACAACGTGAAGCAACAGAAATGGCATTATTTGGTGGATCCGTCAAACCTGGTCTCTTGGTTGCTGTACATATGCTCCACCTTAATGGTGTTCCCAACTTTATTTGGCAATTTTAACGATATACAGGTTAGTTAATATACTCGTATTGTAACCGTCATCATCTCTCTCTCTCACACACACACACACACACACACACAACACAGATACTTACATCACACACACTCAACAAATCATGCTCACACACCTCACATGCACTAAATGTGGGTACTACCTACTTATTTAAAGATGTTTTTCTAGTTTTTTAATCATCATTATTATAATTTTTGTTTTTTTATTCTACTATACTTCATTCCATTTAACATTAAAAAAAAGAAGCTGAAAGAAGCAGGGTTTCGAAACCTTTTCATGCTTTGTATAATAATAAAATATGATTATCATATTTGATATAAGCTATATGTTTTAACACATACTTTTGGGTGTAATGTTAACTATTTATTAATATTTGTGGATCTAACTTCAAACATTGGAACTTGATCAAATTATACAACATTATAAAAATATTATTTTTAGGGTTCCACACCTCAATTGGCAAAAACGGAACCCTTATAGGATCACTCTGCTGTCTGTCACAATTTACTTTCTCGGAATCTATTGGACCGTTGAATTGAAAGTTGAAGTTTGGCACATATATGTATGTCTGCAATCTGCAACCCAAACACGGACGAATGAAATAAATAAATAATTTCCGACTATGGGAGTTACTGTTACGGAGTGAATTAGAATATTAAAAAGTGAAATTCAGCTAACCATACCATTGTACCATATTGCATTTACATTAATAAAAACGCTTTTTATTTATTATCATATCAGGGACAGAACGTAGCCCTTAATCAGGCCTCTACTCGAAAACATTGCTAAACGTATTTTTAAATTTGTTGTTCCATTTTTTATCACCGGCCGTCTTTTCACTATCACATCTTGCTTTTTTATTATGTCTTTCATACAGTCCTACAGTTTAACTGGTAGATGCTTATATTCATGTTCATTGCCTTCTCACCTCTTCTTATTAAATTCCCGTGCCAAAGTAACTCTCAATCTCTGCATCTGATTTATTTATTTATTAATTAAGGACAGCCAACAAAACAAACACCAAATAAAAATACAAACTGAGAAAGCAATAAAGAAAACAATTCTTAGTGCTGCCTTAATTAAAGGCTGCCACTGCATGCGTAAAAAATTTGCTTACGAAGTAGACTTACGAAACAAAAATAAGAAAATCTAGTACAAACACTTCAAAACTATAAAACTAAATATTATATACATATTAATATCCATTCTGACATCATTCTCCAGACCCAAAAACAGATCCAACACCAGTCCCTCACTTGCACTCTGTATTGAGAATGACAAGGATACACTGCCGCCTAATCCAAGTCTAGGCCTAGAGAACGCTGCCAAAATCGACGCCGTTGTGGCGGTATGCTTAACAATAATATGATTGATCTATGTGGGTACAAAGGAGTCTAAAAGAGCAGACTTAAATTTGCGAAGAGAAGAAGACATGTCTATATCACTGTGTTTGGATGAAGCGGCCAGCGTACGTGATAGTGTGTTATATTGTGACTGAAGTCTATTAATGGTACAAAAATGACCAAGGTTAGTTCTGGAAGCCCCTGCTCGGAAAGGTGCATAACGTGAAGGTCGAGCAGATTTACATGGGATATTAAAGTTAATCTGCGCTAACAAGTGTGAGCAATCTAAGTCGGTCACTTAGACCGACCGATTTTAGTAATTTGAAAAAGAAAATGTGATCATGCATTTTACGTCGATTTTCGAGACCGTTAAGCTTAAAGTGAATCAAACGCGATCTGTATGTGGGTAGTTGTTTGGACAAGTAGTGTTTATAAGTTAAGTGCCCCAAGAACCTTTTTTAATACGGATTCAATACGTTGTTTATGAACCTCGTAATACGGTGTCCAAATCACACTGAAGTATTCTAAGCCAGATCTAACCAAGGTGTTGAAAACTGCTATTTTGCTTGAGGCTTGTCTAAATTCCTTGCAATTTCGTAATACAAATCCTAAAAGCTTAAAGCTCTTTTTAGTAATTTTGTCTATATGTATATGAAAACGAAGTTTTTGATCCATGAATACACCCAAATCACGAATAACGTCCACTTCTCCGATAATATCATTATTTATTTTATAGGTATTAAAGTAAGGAGATTTTCTGCGAGAGAAGTGTATAAAGCTACATTTTGAAACGTTGAGTTTCATGGAATTTACTTTGCACCAGGAAGAGAAACGGTTGAGATCTTCCTGAAGGAGTATAGGATAATTAACATTATTAATTAACTTGACGATTTTTAGGTCATCTGCATATAAGTGTATTTTAGAATTCAGAAAGCAGGAAGCGACGTCATTAATGAACGCGTTAAAGAATAAAGGTCCCAAGTGTGATCCTTGTAAGACTCCAGAGGCTATCAAAAATGACGAAGATATGAAACCATTCAATACTACTCTGGAGGATCGTTGAGTCAGGTATGATTCACACCAGTTGAGAAGGTTACCGAAGATACCGTAGCGGAATAACTTAGAGACGAGAGTTTTGTGGTCAACCTTGTCGAACGCTCGGCTGAAATCCGTGTAGATGACGTCAACAGGCGTACCATGGTCCACAGCTGCCACCAAATCAGACACGAAACCCGCCAGATTTGTTACTGTAGAACGCGACCTAATAAAGCCATGCTGTTGTGGTAGTAAAATATTCTTAAAATGCCAGGCCAAGAACGGGTGTACCAGCACCTCAAAGTCCTTTCCGAAAATTGATAACAATGAGATAGGACGGTAGTTATTTACTGAAGTCTTGTCTCCAGATTTATATACAGGTACAATTAAGGCTTCTTTCCATATGGAGGGAAAGATACCTGTTCTAAGCGATTTGTTAAAAATCAGGGAAAGAGGTTCGGCAAGGACTTCATGGCAAGAGGCAACAAAAGAAGGCGGGAGTCCATCAGAACCTGCACCCTTACGGGGGTCAAGTGCCTTCAGTGCTTTATCGACCATGCCTGTGGTTATGGTGACGTCATGTAAGGTCTGAGATCCAGAGGCGTCATAAACAAGTGAGCATGTATCGTTCATATTCGCACTATTAAAATCGCAGTCATAAACAGATGAGAAACATGAGGCGAAGGCATTACAGATCTCGGGCCCCGTATGTGCAATTTTATCTTTATAAGTCATAGCAGATGGATATGAACTGCAACCCTTACGCTTCTGCTTTAAAAAAGACCAAAACAGTTTGGGATTAGAGGTTAAGGAGGTTTCGATTGATTCTATGTAAGAGTTATAGCTACTTTGTGCAAGTTTGTTACATCTAGTTTTGAGAATGTGAAAGGGAATATCATCTAATGGGTTTTTGAACTAAATATAACGCTTTCGGTATTTGTTTTTTTTCACGCAATAAACGGATAAGGTATTTATTGAACCAAGCAGGGTAATTGTTCGAATGCGGCTTAGACATGGGCACATATTTTGATATGAGTTGATTAACAGTACTGTAAAATACCCCCACCATGCTATCAACACAAAGACAAGAAGCGAATTTTTCATGCCAGTTTATTGTCTTAAGTTCTTTTATTATTTTACCGTAGTCAGCTTTATGGTATTTAAACTTAGGCGCTTGGTTATAGCTCAGGTTGTCAATTACATGGCCTGATATATTGTATTCAAAAGGTGGGTGGTGAATATCAACTTTTGATAAGGGAAAAGTACACATCCGCAAGTCACTAACTAATATGTTAGATAGAACTAAGTCAAGAATTCTGTTTTTACTATTTAGTACATAATTATATTGTTCTAAGCTATTTAAAGAAATAAAATCTATGAGTAAATTCTCACATACACTGCCGCCAGCCGAAGCCCTGTACGACAGCCCCGGGGAACCCAACCACCTGATGCCACCCAAGTTGAAATCGCCAATCAACAAAATATTCCCTGCATTCATAAGAACTTTATTTGTATTATCTATAAAATGTTCATATATATGTATCTGTGCAGGCGGTGGAATATAAATGATATTTTGACGTGAGAATTTTCGATTGAAAATTAGGGTGCTTTTTGGATATTAAGTCAAAATAAGGTGAAAAAATGAATATTTTAAATCAAAAAAATTACTGTATGTTTGGGACATACAAAGGTAAGCATTCACCAAATTTCGTGAAATATTTTTTTTTTTCAAAAAATAAAAATCAAAAACCAAAAACTCGGTTATTCGCATTTTTCACATAAATTTTAAGGTTATGTGAAAAAAGTGTCGATACAAAAGTTGTAGATCTTTTCATTACCTACAACTTTGTCATTTAACTTTTTTTCATAGGACTTGCATTTTTACCGGAAATCGAGATTAACCATTTTTACCCTTAAAAACTCACCCCCTCCCCCTTCGCGACCTCAGATCGCCCGTAATTTATTTTTCCCTTCATTTTTGTTATATTCTCTACCTTTTCTAATGGGTTTCATCCTACTATAATTTTTTTTTTCACTTTTCACCATTTTTAAAATTATCGACCCTGGTCTATGAGTAAAATCTTTGAAAAAATAATGTTAGAACAATTGTTGACTCATTTTAACGTTAATACACTTTTACACAGAGCGCAGTGCGGCTTCACTAAAAACCGTTCCACAACTGATGCTGGTGCCACTATGCTAAAATATATATTTAATGCTTGGGAAAAGTCGCAGAATGCTCTTGGGGTTTTCTGCGATTTATCTAAAGCCTTTGATTGCGTTAATCATCAAACTTTGTTACTGAAATTAAATCATTACGGCATAAAAGATTCCGCACAAAAATTAGTGCAATCATATTTAAAAGAAAGTACACAAATAGTTGATATTAACGGTGCAAAATCTGCCGAATCTCATGTGAAAATAGGCGTTCCTCAGGGTTCAATTTTAGGTCCATTTCTTTTTTTAATTTACATTAATGATTTACCTTTCTTTGTAGAAAATTTTTGTGAAATTGTTTTGTTTGCAGATGACACCTCGCTAATTTTTAACGTTGACAGGTATAAAACTAATTATGACGATGTAAACAATACACTTTCCAAGGTACTTCACTGGTTCTCGTCTAATAATCTTAGACTTAATGCGAGCAAAACTAAATGTGTGTTTACTTTGCCGAATGTAAAGCATGCTGAAATGGGGGATATAATTCTAAATGGTGAAAAACTAATTTTAGTCGATACAACCGTTTTCTTAGGCGTAACACTAGACCACAAACTTCAATGGAACCCTCAAATTACAACACTAGCCGGTAAACTTAGTTCCGCTACTTATGCAATCTATAAAATAAGACGGCTTACAGATGTCGACACTGCTAGGACAATATACTTCAGCTATTTTCACAGCATTATGTCGTATGGCATTCTATTGTGGGGCACGGCCGCTGACATTAAAACAGTTTTTATTCTTCAAAAACGCGCTATAAGAGCTATTTATCGCTTGGGATCTCGAACTTCTCTAAGGGATAAATTTAAAGAAATAGGTATAACGACTGTTGCCTCTCAATACATTTACAATTGTATATTGTTTGTGCGTCAGAACATAAATTTATATACGAGGCGCGATGATGTACATAATTTCAATACCAGAAATAAAGATAAACTCAAATTGCCACCGTTGAGACTCCAAAAGGTTCTTGGTTCATTTGTGGGTCAAGGCATATGTTATTATAATAAAATACCAAAAGAAATAATTAATTTACCTTTCAATAAGTTTAAAGTGTCTATAAAAACATGTCTCCTTAAGAAAGGTTACTATACTGTTAAAGATTTCATAAATGATAAGTCACCTTATGCTTAATATAACAGAAAAGTTGTTTTACTTTGCTGATTTGGTTGAAAATTGTTTAATCGCCACTTCTAAATTTAAAAGTAGTACCTAGCTATACTTAACTTTTGTTAATTAATAATATTAATGTGATGGAAGTTGACATCAACACATGTTTTCAATTTTTGATGTCATCTTTCAATTGACGACACTGTTTGAAACAAAACAGGGAGAAAAAAATAGCCCTTGCTGAGTTTCTTGCCGGTTCTTCTCAGTACAAGGTCTCCCGCCGTAGATTTACGAACCGATGGCGTAGCGTTTGACTTTCACAAGAGCTTGTAACAGCCTAGACTGAATAAATGAGTTTGAGTTTGAGTTCTGTCATCGGTGCCGATTTCAAACTTTTCTTTGTTTTTCACTTCATCAATTCTTCTCATCCCACATAACAATTTAGTATAAATCTTCTTAGCCACGTGTAATGGACATTCTGTTTTATCCATCCGCTTTACTGTAAAATAACGCTGATCCATATAAGACGACAGATCTGATGATCGTATTATATATTGCTTTGGCTCCGCCTTCAATCGAGTTTTAACATTGCTATGCATTTTCAGTAGGCGTTAATATTTTGTACGGGCGGTAGTTTTATTGTCGAAAGGACAATCATTCACTTTTCCCATCAATAGGGTATTTGTCAGTATTAAAAATAAAGTGCCAATTGTTAGCATCTGTGTTTAGAATGAATATTGGCAGGGGATTTTACTATTTTTACAAAAAAAATATTCATAATTTTACTAAAAACTCACGAAAAGATAATACATAGTTTTCTTATCTATTGTCACGTGACCTAAAACGCTTGGGATTGGCGGAGCCTAAAATGACGTCACACGCAAGTAAACTTCCGGCAAAACTAACATTACATTGTATCGTTTGACGTTTTAATAACAGTCGTGTGACGTCACACACTAGTAAGACGATATTGTCCGGAAACGGTTTCACGGCAATTTGAAAATGGAGTTTTTGATTTGGTTATTTTTACTGAAATACACAACAGAATGATGAATACCTACTTTTTACGGACTCCATAAACATTAGTCAATAACGTGAGATCGTTTTTAAAATTTGTCAAATATTCTATTATATTGTCACGTACGCTGTGTAAATTGAAGTAATTTTCCTGTATTCTGGAGATTTTATCATTGAAGACCAAATCTACCAATCTGTGAAGTATTTACAATCAAAAGAAACAATAAAAAATATGCCTGGGATAAATAATAGACATAGGTACATATTTTGTTACCATCATATCTATAAAATAGTATAATATCTATAAAAAAAAGTGGCAACACTTAACGTAAACCCTATTCCCATCCTATTATTTGCATATCCTTTTTTATTATTTCGATATAAAACAAAAATGTATTATTTTAAATTTCAGTTCTCAGCGGCGTCTATAACCGTCTTTCTCTCCTGGTTTGAGCTACTCCTCTTACTGCAGCGGTTTGATCAGATCGGTATCTACGTGGTGATGTTCCTCGAGATCTTGCAGACCCTCATCAAAGTGCTGATGCTCTTCTCTATACTTATCATTGCATTCGGATTGGCGTTCTACATACTCCTCTCTAAAGTGGGTTCTACACAGATCACATCAAAAAGTAGAATGGTAACGCACCGTTTTACTTGGAAAGTTTTGCTTATTTTATTTGATGTTCATATATTTCATATATCACTTTATCAATTTATTATTAAATATGACGTTTGACTTTTTTATTGGTCACATGATCTGTATTTGGAAATGCCTTAGATTTTATTATAGTAATATTAAAAATATTTTGCAATATGAACGATTTTAAAAATAAATGAGCTGAGACTTTCCAAGTATAGGTGCAGGTCACAATTTTGTCATACTAGGCTGTTTCTGATTACACTCTCATAAAAAAGAAGTGTCATTATAAAATGAACAGAAAATAATTTAATTTAATTGCAACGTTATATTTGTAAGAAATATAAGCGAAATTAGTTTCGAGTGAACAGAAATGGATCTAGTACAATTTTATTCAAATGAAAATTGTTATCCTAATTATTTATAAGTTAAAGCGCAGGCTATGTAAGTAAGTATAGGCAAGTACTATATTACATCATAAATCTGATAGCTTTGCGTTCATGACGTCATGAAAATGTTCTTTAGGATTGTATTTAACATAACAGGCAGAATTGTAAGCAATATTTTTTTTATTTCCGACACGCCATGCGAAACCTTTAAAAAAATCTGCCTTGCGAATTTACTACCAAACAATATTCCGCAGATCACTAACATTTTCTCTTTCCAGGGTCATCATTTATCTTTCAACAGCATACCGATGTCTTTAATGAGAACGTTTGCTATGATGCTCGGGGAAATAGATTTCGTTGGGACCTACGTTCAACCATATTACAAGGCAGAGACGGATATAATTCTTCCATTCCCGATGCCTACGTTCTTCATTCTCGGACTATTCATGGTGCTCATGCCAATTCTCCTGATGAATCTTCTCATCGGTTTGGCTGTGGGTGATATCGAAAGTGTTAGACGGAACGCACAGCTGAAGAGACTCGCGATGCAGGTTATGAGATTTTTTGATATTTATTATCAGGATATTTATATCCACTACAAATGAGAATTCTTTTCAACTTTTCTGTCAGAAATTATTTGACTAAAATGAATTCCTTATATAGGTTGTGCTGCACACTGAATTAGAGCGGAAATTACCCACTATACTACTGGAGAAGGTAGATAAGGATGAATTGATTGAGTACCCTAACAATAAATGCAGAAAACTTGGTTTCCTCGATCTGATTCTCAGAAAATGGTTCTGCAACCCGTTTAATGATGAAGGTAAGCACATGTGTGATCTGCAAATGAATAGAATGGCTTCTCAATAACTACGGTTTTTACGGTCTTATTAAAACTTTGTTATTCAAACAAAAATAAACGTCTTAAGAAGACCACAACCAACCAATCAACCAACAACAACATGATAACTTTGTTATGCGTGATTATCTTACTAGTTTGACTGTATAAAATGTTAGTTTATTAAGTATAACGAGTACTTCAAATGTTATATTAAGCAGCTAATGTGCTTGCAGCTGGTTTGGACTTGGTATTGGAGAGTAGTGAAGACTACATAACAAACGAGTTGGACAAACAGAAACGCAAACTCCGTGAAATGTCCCAACTGTTGGAGCAACAGCACATGTTGATAAGATTGATAGTACAGGTAAGGATATTGTTGGTGTGATCATAAATCGAAAAAGTTTCAGTGTAAAAGGATAGATTTTCTTTCGATATCAATGTTAAAGAAATGCAGATAAAAAAAAATAAAGGCAAAGCTTTTTTCTTTACTCACTGTTAACATTTGGATGCTGACTTCAAAATCAGGAATCAATAAAAAAGTTTAAGTTGTACTATACTGTTAAATAAGGCAATGGCATCGCTGAAATTTGTTTAAAGAATTGAATTGGTTGATATTTGACAGATGTCTCAATTCATTTTATTTGTTAAAAAAAAAAAACAATTTTATTTGTATCGAATGATCTTTGGTTGGCTTAACTCCATTGAATGATACTGAATTAATTTAACGTAATGAAATATTATTTATAATAAATAATTAATAACTATTACTTTAATGATCAAAACTGCTATTAATAAACTGATGATGATATATCTACATCATCAGTTTATTAATGTTTCCACTGCTAGGGCACAGGCATGATTCATAGAAAATTAATGGCATGTGAGAGATTGGATCATGATCCATCATGTGGGCCCAGTGTGAACTACAGATGATAATAACTTCGGGGCCAACAGCTTAACGTACCATCCAGTCCAAGAGAAACAAGAGATAAAAAAAATTTGGTGAGAACCTTTAGCTTGAAACAATATCGAATTCGTAGTCATCGAGAAAGGAGATTGCTCAAATTGGCCCAAATGCACAAAAAAGATTGACATATACGGTAATTCTTGGCGTAATTTATACTTTATTTTACAGTCATTAGATTTTAACGGACTCCTTTGTATAATATATTCATTTTAAAAAGGACTTTTAATTTACCGGTTTGGAAAATATACGAATCATTTTTAATGGCTATGGGTGTAGTAACATTCAGCCAAAGACTGATCAAAGTTGTTTATATAAAATCAAATCAAATCTATTTTGTAAAGATCGATATAATAAAACATTCTTTTTTATTACACTGTGGTATTAATATCTACGAGTACAACTATATTATTATTTTCACTACATGGAAATGTGCTAAGTCAATTATTATACAGGGTGGCCGGGGAGTTGACGTTCAAGCGTAAAATTAAGATACCTTATGATGAGGAGTATCCAAATCACCCCCATGTATGTTTACGATTTTGCGTAGTTTTCGAGTTATAATATTATTAATGATTTTTTTCGTAATTTTCACCTAACAACAGTTTTCGATTTATTTCTCATTCTGTTGGACGCTTCTGGTTCAGTTTTTTTGTGATAATTGACTAACATAGTCTGACCTAGCGCCCTAAAACTTATGGTTTATCTAGGCATTGCAGAATTCACTTAGAATTTGTTCGAAAGTTCAAAATTAGGATTTGAGCTCAGTACACACAAATTTTCAAAGTATCAAAAAAAATGTAAATGCGGAGATTTGGAGTTGAAAGTGCTTTTAGAAACTTCCTGAGACATTAAACTTTAAAACAAGGCCAAATAAAGATAGGGTTAAGGGGGGTTTATTTTCTGTAACTGACCTTCAAAGTAAATTAAGGCATTTTCAAAGTTAAAAAAATATTTATTTTATTTTATTTAAATCTTTGACTTTCTATGAGTTATGATGGATTTGAGTAAAACGCAGTTAATTGTTAACAAAATACATTTATTTAAAGCAAATTTTCAAAATTTCGCCCTCCCACAGAAATACACAAGCTACATCTGCGCAAACAATTATGTTTTAGGTGCCTAAAAGCTTCACGGTTATTTTTCACAGTGGTTTCAGCTTCGCGAATTATTGCTCTCAGTTCTTCTTCACTCGAAACTTCTCTGGCGTACGCATTTTCTTCAAAGTAGCCCTAGATAAAAAATCGATAGGGTTGAGGTTTACTACTACTCGTCTTGTTCTGCCGTTTTTTCTCGACCACTATTTGCCTACTGATGCCGCCGCTGCTTACTTGTTTGACCCCTGCTTGTTACTGGATTCCGTTGTGCCTAACAATTTGGATTGTAGTTACTTGGAAATGTTAGTGATGCCCTACACTCTGAGTTAATATGCAGAAACGCATTATTTCTACGGCGTTGCATAAGGCAACGATCTTGAAGCAGCAAGACTCTACAGGGATCAACTTCAATGCCGAGGCGGAGCGCAACCTGATCATTACCCTGACTATCGTGTGTTCATTAATACTCACAATACGTTAATAGCAGGCCGCATTCCCGGCCAAAGTGGTGGTGAAGGCATTCAGAGGGTTGATCAGGAACGCAGGGAAATCCTACTGGAAGAAGTGCAACGCAATTGTAGTACAAGTACGAGAGCATTAGCTCGTAACCTTGACATACCAAGATCTTCAATACAGGATATTTTGCGTGAGGAATCATTTTACACCTACCACATACAAAAAGTACAAGCGTTGCAGCCTTCAAATTATCAATTGAGAGTCGAGTTCTGTAGAACTATGTTGCAGAAAGAGGAAGAAGATCCCGGATGCTTTAATAAAATCTTGTGGACTGACGAGTCAAGATTTGAGCGAACTGGGGTTTTCAATATCCACAATTTTCACATTTGGGCCGTTGAAAATCCACATGCCGCCAGACCAACATCGTTTTAGCGTGAACATGTGGTCTGGTGTTTTGAATGGCGAATTAATAGGCCCATTTGAACTGCTATCGAGATTAGACGGCGACACATACAAAAGTTTTTTAGAAGACAATCTACCCATATTACTGGAAGATTTAAATCTTGAATTAAGAAGAACGAGGGTGTTCCAGAACAACGGGGTACCATGTCATTACTCGATACAAGTGCGTCGTCATTTAGACCAGACCTACCCCAACAGGTGGATCGGACGACGAGGGCAAATTGCCTGGCCACCACGCTCGCCTGACCTCAACCCTATTGATTTTTTTATCTGGGGCTACTTTAAAGAAATTGCGTACGCCAGAGAAGTTTCGAATGAAAAAGAATTGAGAGCAAAAATTCGCGAAGCTGAAACCACTGTGAAAAATAACCGTGAAGCTTTTAGGCACCTAAAACATAATTGTTTGCGCAGATGTAGCTTGTGTATTTCTGTGGGAGGGCGAAATTTTGAAAATTTGCTTTAAATAAATGTATTTTGTTAACAATTAACTGCGTTTTACTCAAATCCATCATAACTCATAGAAAGTCAAAGATTTAAATAAAATAAAATAAATATTTTTTTAACTTTGATAATGCCTTAATTTACTTTGAAGGTCAGTTACAGAAAATAAACCCCCCTTAACCCTATCTTTATTTGGCCTTGTTTTAAAGTTTAATGTCTCAGGAAGTTTCTAAAAGCACTTTCAACTCCAAATCTCCGCATTTACATTTTTTTTGATACTTTGAAAATTTGTGTGTACTGAGCTCAAATCGTAATTTTGAACTTTCGAACAAATTCTAAGTGAATTCTGCAATGCCGAGATAAACCATAAGTTTTAGGGCGCTAATCTATCACAAAAAAACTGAACCAGAAACGTCCAACCGAATGAGAAAAAATCGAAAACTGATGTTAGGTGAAAATTACGAAAAAAAACATTAAAAATATTATAACTCGAAAACTACGCAAAATCGTAGAACATACATGGGGGTGATTTGGATACTCCTCATCATAAGGTATCTAAATTTTACGCTTGAACGTCAACTCCCCGGCCACCCTGTATATGTTAGGCGACATCTTAAAGTCTATTGCCATATATTTTTCGCCAAACACATCCATAAACACATTATAAGGTGTGATACATTAAAAATCTAAGATATGGTTATAATATAAACTTACAAAAATAATGAAGCTACTGAAGATATGGCTGTATAACCTAAATCTCTTAGTTTTCTTTGGTTAACGAGAGTTTTAAAATTCTCTCTAATCTGTGGCTCATTCACAATCACCAAACAGTTTCTGTCACAGAGTACCTTATTATAACCGGAAATGCATAGATGATACCTGTTGTTTTTAATTGTTGTTTATTATTTTAATACCTATGCACATATTTGCAAACATAACCTCAAAATCGTTCAGTGTATATGGTTTATAGAAGTTCTCATGGGTGTCCGTCAATAATATTCGTTTCTACAGTAATTTAGATATAATTTCGAATCTAGGAAACTATTTTTCATGATTATTGGTCTTTAGGCCAAACATGTATGGAAGCTGAGCAATCTCCTTTGTATGAAGACTTGAACCTCGCCACAATGGACGTAACGAGAATAAAAAAATAGTAGCATGACGTTCTTGAAATGTATTGGATATTGGTTCGTGCTTAGGGTACTATCCTTAGCACAATCCAATATCGAATTCCAATAGATACGCGTCAAATGTCAAGAAGTTTTGTATAAAAATTTGAGCAGAGCAACGGACGTGAGGAGAATTAAAATCTTACACAAAAAAGGTCTTAACATTTGACGCATATCGAGATCGAATTCAACGATTCGAATTCGATATTGGTTCGTGCTAAGGATACTGTTGTATAGATCGAACGCGCATACCAATTCGACATTGAGTTTCTATAATATAGATATAATATTTATATGATATAATGTTATGGGTTTAACATAATAATATTATGTTAAACCCATAACATTATATAATAATAAAACATGACTTTAATGAAATTGTTTAGAAAATGGAAATCAAAACTGAAGCTGACGATGTAGATGAAGGAGTTTCACCCTCAGAAACCCGTGTGATACCACGGTGGAGCTCGCCCAGGATCAAGAAAAAGCTGCTAGCCTCAGCATCATTCAACAAGGGATTATAAATGAAATCATTTAAGCCAGTTTCAACAATTCAAATTCTAGTTAAAAACAAGCTTAATCTAGCTGCATTTTCAAGCTGGTTGTTATTTTCATCTAATTAACAAAGCCCAAGTGCATTAAAGTCCTTAAATAAAAAAATAAACTAATCATGTTTAATCTTCATTTTATCTCTGTTTGATTTTAACAATGGACAAAAGATTGATGTGTTATAGTGCAATTCAAACTTTTTGGCGACTGGGAACTTATATTGTAGCGAGCGTATCTACACGCAGGTTTCACTTCAGTGACATCCTGCGCGAGTACATTTCGCTGACATTGCCACGACTTGCGCTAACTTCACAGCCCTTAAGTTTGAATTGTAGGATTAATCCTTAAGCTGCATTAAGAAATTTTATTGCAGGTGACCCTGAAAGGTCTATATCTCTTACTGTAGATCGATTTATTGAAACTGGCCGTTATACTATAATTTTTGTTAGTCTGAAACTGTCTATATCTTTTCCTGTTCTGGTTTAATATTTGGTTAATTTAATATCCATTAGATTGTAAGAGTACGTCTTTTGAAGTATTATTATTCCATTTTATTATCGGCATTGTCATATAATATTGTGCATATGACGTCTATTATCTATTGGCTGTATAATTATAGATTTTTTATTTAATAAGGCTTATAGGTTTGATAGGAAGTAGTTATTTGACTGAATATTATTCAAATCCCATAATTATGCAAACCTTAGTTACCAGACACGTAATTGTCATTGTACATTAAAGTTTCAATTTATTGTTCATGAACTCAATTACTATAATTTGGTACTAATACGAGTAGGTCATTGGTTTGCTAATTTATAATATCATATATTTTTATACATATTAATTATTTGAAATATGTTTATGATTTAAAATATGATTTAAATGAAGTAATTATTTTTCAGCAAGCTTATTTAACATAACTATATTTAACAAAACGTAAAATATCAAAATAAACCAAGAAAATCACGTTATATTAAAAATAATATTTTTGGGCACAAAAAGTAAGTTTTAGATGTAAAATTGTTAAGGTACCTAATAATCCAAATATAGGGTAATTATTTCTATATATAGTAGGAACACATTTATTATATTGCTTCCTTTATATGTATGTATTATTTGTATATGTTTACTGATTTAAATTATAAAAAAATACATAAAATTTAAATGAATGATATTCAAAAAATAATATTATGTTATTTTATTAACAGCTACTATCAACATTATCGCTGTATTTAAATAATCGTTTTACAATTATATACAAACCCAACTATCAAAATGTATAGGATGCGTCGTGCTAGTAACGTACGAGTAATCCATCCATTTTAATAGCTTAAAATTGCAAAATTCTCTTATATTTACGGTTGTCTTCAGACAAATACTGTATGGCTGAACAAATATTATATTTAAATTTTACTTAAAAAGTTACGTCTAAACGAAATTTTGTATTTTAAATATTTATTTATATACTTAACTTAATAAGCAATTGTTTTTTTTAACAATATAACGACTTCACGAGCTGGCCATAGTCGAGTTATTTTTTGTATTAAAATATTCTTTAGATACAAAATATTTTGTTTTTATCAAACGTCATAGAAACTTGGCGCTTTATAAAAAAGAATAATATAATATGATTATAATATGTACTCACATATATGACTAAATGTTAGTTAAATTAATGTTGTCTACCAATAAGCGTGCGGTACCTACCGTTTTAGATAGATAATTGTATTTTTTTCGAAAGAGTTTATAAGATGGATGCTTGTTGAATGCGCAAAGTAATTAAGTGTGACTTATTAATTAAAATCTTAAGTTAATTAGTTTCACTTTGAGAAAGCTGTTTGTATTATTAGGTTTTATTACAAGATTACGAAATAATATTTCAGGAAAATCGATGTATCCGACATATTTTGACTGCGAACTGGTAAAAAATGAATTGTTCAAAGAGATTTAAATATACTTACCTACACCTTTTAAACATTATGGGACATAAAACTTTTTGTTATTTGTCAGACATTCTATTGCATATATTTTCTGCGCTGTAAATATCAGTTTTTAACAAAATATAAAACAATGGGTTTTAGTGTTGCATTGGTTTTATTATTTCATAAATTCAGTCACTTCTACAAATGGTCAGGATCAGTGACACTATCTAGTAAATACACGAAAACGTGTATCGAATCTTGCGTTTTCTCACTGAGACAACCATTGTTGTTACCATGAAAAGGAATTTCTTTTTTGATGCCACTCCCAAGTATTTTTATAAGATTCCGCAAATCACCCCTTAGTTTTAATAAGATTTCCTTATAAAATTAAAATCAAACTTAATTTGTCGTAAAGTTTTTTCCCTTGTTATAAGGTCCCCCGTGGCAAATTTGCGCTTGGAAAAACCGACAAATGTCAAAACCAAAATTTTCAGGAGACAAAAACTGATTGGAGCTGAAATTGAATACTTAGGTGTGAAATCAAATATGCAAAGAAATAAAAAAATATGTTTCACAATAGATTATAAAATTAAGTTTATTGAAACAATAAAATCTCTTTGGTAGAGTTTGTTTTTTTTCATAATTTAAGACACTTAGCTCTTTTTTTTTGTGTCGTATAACACCGCTATGTATTTTTCTGACACAAAGCTGATTTTCCGTTTAAGATTTAACACCCTTCACTAGCCTATATATCCACATAGCGTATTTATTCTATTAATTACAATAGTTAACACGTCAATCTGCATCTGAGGGCCATTCGCCTAACCGGATTGCTTTGGAAACCGCTATCGCTTAAGATTTCATTTTGTTATTTCTAGCCGCCTGAGGTTTTCAAATGCCTCCCGGTCTTTTTGAAGTTATACTTCTTTAGGCGCGTTATGAAAAAATGATGAGAGTGAAATTTTTAGATGCGCGCGCATCACTGTAACCCAAAAGTAACAGCATGAAGTTGGCCGCGGGCGCGTTATGAAAAAATCATGTGAGTGAAATTTCGAGATGCGCGCGCATCACTGTAACACAATAGTAACACCATGAAGTTGGCCGCGGGCGCGTTATGAATGTTAGTGTCTAATAATGGTGGATTATTAACCACTTATATCCACCATTATTAGACATCTGTTCGAAAGGTACATTGAACGATCCACGGAGCTCCATAAGATGATCGCGTTGTCAAAAACAATGTTGGCACGCTCGTCGCCTCTGATCACTGTTTTCATATTTATAATATTTATCCACATGTTTCTAGTTTCTATATAGACACAACGTGTTTTAGTTACTTACAAGTGCTAATTACATATGGACTAATAACTTAAATTCAGTAGTGATTTTAATTGAATAATTTGAATATTTATTTAATTTTTCAAATTAAAACTGAACTTAATTGACTGTGTTAACTATCCTTTTCCAGTCCTTTTATTATTTTATTGTAATTATTAATTATTTGCATGCAATTAAAAAATATTTTTAATGATGCTAAAGAAGTATAACTTCTCACGCGCGTACATAAGTTACACGCATCCATTTTTTTTTTCTTTTGCATTGGTAATAACAATATTAAAGAAAATGAGCGTGAGGTATTTCAAAACCTTCGGCGGTCAGAAATAACAAAATGAAATCGTAAGCAATAGCGTTTTCCAAAGCAATCCCGTTAGGCGAATGGCCACCTGTTATGATGAAAATTTTCAACTAGAAGGTACGCCACTAGAAAGCCAGACAAATAAAACAAAGAACATAGCTTTAAAAAAAAACATTTTATTAGACAGGAAAGTAGCTTTAGTAGGACAAAAATTATGGCAGGTACTGAAAAAAAAGAGTGCGCTGCGATATTTGGTAAGTACACTAAAATCTAAGGTTGTCGTAGAATGAATGGTAATCTCGATGCATGTAAGGCTTATGCAATTGAAGTTGGTCGAATTTGCTTTTTTTCTATTTTACTAGGTCTTTCGTGTAACAGTGCAGGTGATTGATATAACTCAGGTTTTCTTCGTTCTGGTAGCAGTACCCAGTTATCTGGGTGAAAATTTTTAAACCAAGCTTTGCCTTGTTTACAAAGCAGTGCCCTAATATCTGTGACAGTTGGATGTCATATTTTTTCGCTCGGCCGAATCGAAGCAAAGTTACTTGGTGAATCGTCATAATTTTTGAAGAAAGTGTGGTCGACGTTACTCACTTCGTATGGCTGTGTTGGTTTTGCTTGTCGGATCCGGTAGACATAGCCAGGGGTGCTGGTTGAAAAAGTTTTTTAAGAGTAGAGTGCACACTATCTACCTCCATCATTCAGTGCAAGGGACACACAATGATAGAGGAGGAGGAGGATGGAGTCATCTTTCAAAATAATTTGGTGGATGACTATCGATTCTTTATTGGAAATGTCAGGCAATGCACTCACTCAGACTCTGTTTTTGTTCTGGTATGCACAGCCATCTGATGTTAAACCAATTTTTTTGGTATCCATTCGATCCTTTTAGTTTTTCCCAATTCCATAAAATCAAGAATGCATGTTACAAACTAAGTTTATTATTATTAATTTATATTGTAAAAATATGTATTTGTCGTTTTTGTTTATAGTATTGTGCTGACACCAATAATATCGGGCATAGTTGTACACTCTGCAAGTCCATCGTTGCCACACAATATTCAAATGAAGCTTTAGATATCGTATATCCAATCTGTCAAAGAATCTTTTTTAATATCTAGTGTCGCTAAAAAGTCTCTGCAAACTCTCAATTTGATACCGTCATGTCTCGGCAAATAACAATCAATGCCATTGTTTCTTTTATGATCTATTTCTATTAAATCTTCCGATGTCTTGCTTCGCTTGTTAATAGTTTCCTATTGAAATTTGGATATTTGCTATTGCGATTAAGAAATATCCAAATTTAAATAGAGAAGTTGGTTATTATTACCACCAGCTTGGGAACCCAGATAAAACTCTAAACCTGAGCTATTAAACCTAGACCAACAGATACTATTAGTTCTTTTTGTTTGCATGATTTAACATAAGAAGGAGAAAGAAAGTCTCTCTGAGTTTATTTCGCCGGTTCTTTTCAGAAAGGTCTCCCAATTTTGGAACCGGTGGTAAAAAGGAATTAAATAAAGTATTTTATTAATTAAATTAACTAATAAATTCATGCATAGACAATAAAGTTTTAAAAATCTTCCAATGAAATATCCGAATGCTCAATAAAATTCTTTGGAAGGTAGATCGACAAAGTAAATAAAATCATTATTCTGAAGACGCATTCCTGCAAAACGCTGAAACGTCAAGAAATACATAAAATCAGTGCATGTAACCCGTTGAAACTTGTTTTATTCAATTAGGTACTTACTAGGATATTCATTAATAATATAGGACTAAAACATTATCATATTGACGGAATAAAAAATTTGAAGATAATTATTGTATTTTAACGAAATGGGTATTTTGAGGTTGTGTTTAGGAAAATCACCAAAAACTCACTTTTTTATTTATTTCCACGGTACTGTTTGTTGAAATAAGTATTTTCGTATGTTCTACAATAATTTTAAATCCGATCCTTTACAATAAGTTAATAATGTGAAACTTGCAATAAATACTAATTTTAACAAATAAACAAGTTAAATTGAGTAGTTTCGTTAGCGCGCCAAATAAAATTACCGTCATGTGCAACGTAAAGGCGCAGGAATAGCACATCGACTATGAGTGGAAAATACGCTATGTATACCACCGACACAAAGCGCATTTTGACGCCTATTTTTCTTTGACAAATACATAGCTGTTTATGTTACCTTTGTTGTAAACTGACTTTGACAAAACGGGTTTTCTAGCACTATCAGGCGTCGCAAATTTAGCCAAAGTAGCCACAAAGCTCAATTTCGGAAAAAATACGTTTGTCGGATTTTCCAGGCGCAGCGACGAAATGTAGCTGTGTCAAATAACTCGTTACTGTTTCCTTTTTAAAATAACAAACATTTGTGGCTCTGTAGAGTAAAATTTACCCAATGGCTACAATTGCCCCGGGTGAACTTATCCATAATTGATCTTCCCCTAATACTACCTAAAAAGACATCTCAATTCTCCCATAACATCATATTTAATAATTAAAAAATAGTTAAACAATTTTAGTGTTATAATACACTAAATAATTTCGTAGATATGTACGCATATTTCTTTCCGTTCAAGATAGAGTGTATGTGTATACACAGGGTATGGAAAATGTCTGGTGAAAAGGTCGCTTATAGCATTTGGACATTTTAAACTGAGAATATTCATAATAAGAATCGAATATTCAATTTTGTATTTCTGTACATATTAAGTAATCGTCGAAAACGCTGATTGGTAGGAATGTAGAAAAAAATATTTTTCGTCAAGAAACAATTTTATGTATTGTACCATCACTTTATTCTATGAAATATGTAAAACACAAAAACAGACAATTCAAGAGCATAAATTAACGCGCCAATAACTATTATTTCGTTAAATTTAGAACAAAAGCATATTTTTATGTAATTAAAACATATTTAGGACCAAAGA